CCGAACAACAGAAAGAAAATCGTGTGGACGTTTGCCGGCAACTCTTTGAACAATCCAATAATGATGAAAGAATCATTCACAAGATCATAACTGGAGACGAAGGCTGGGTTTATGGATACGACATTGAGACAAAAGATTGACAAAGGATCTCCACGCTCCAAGAAAGCACGTCAGTCTCGATCCAACGTAAAAGTGATGTTTTTTCGACTTTAATGGAATTGTGCATTTTGAATGCACTCTTGCCTCAAGGTGAAACAGTGAATCATGTCAAAAGCGTCGTCAAAGCGTTTTACGTGAAAAAATCCACAAAAAAGAGACCACAGTTGTGGCGAGACACCTCATGTTTTTGCACCCTGACACCAATGCGCCCGCAAACTCAGTTTTGTCAATTCGTCAGTTTTGTTCCAAAAATCAGATTACTGTCCTCCCTCACCCTCTTTACTCGTCAGATTTGCGATTTTTTCTTATTTTCGAAATTAAAATGAGTGTTGAAAGGATGCTGTTTTCAAATTACTGAACGGCGGTGACAACATTTTTAACATTAAGGCGATGTTTCGCATCGTATTAGCTATGTCCTGTACAAATTTAGTTTCGTGCAACTCTCTCGGTTTCAAAAATACAATAGCTATGTAGGTTTTCAGCCACGAAATTTGAATAATTCCAAATATTTCGAATTTTCACAACCAAATAACGGTGGCGACAACATTTTTAACATTAAGGAGATATTTCGCATTGTATTAGCTATGTCCTGTACAAATTTAGTTTCGTGCAACTCCTTCAGTTTCAAAAATACAATACCTATGTAGGTTTTCAGCCACGAAATTTGAATAATTTCGAATATTTCGAATTTTCACCACCAATAACGGTGGTGACAACATTTTTAACTTTAAGGCGATGTTTCGCATTGTATTAGCTATGTCCTGTACAAATTTAGATTCGTGTAACTCTCTCGGTTTCAAAAATACAATACCTATGTATGTTTTCAGCCACGAAATTTGAATAATTCCGAATATTTCGAATTTTCACCACCAAGAACGGCGGTGACAACATTAAAGCGATGTTTCGCATCGTCTTAGCTATGTCCTGTACAAATTTAATTTCGTGCAACTCTCTCGGTTTTGAAAAATACAATACCTGTGTGTTTTCAGCCTCGGAATTTGAACAATTTGTTTTTTTGTTAATTTTATTTATTCGGCTACAATTTATTTAAAAAGTAATGTATGTTATTGGCTTGGGTTTTAGAAATAAATAAATTTAAATAATATCGTCTCGACAATTAAAAAAAATTTCTCAGCATAATAAATGTGTAAGATGACATTTATTATATTATATATAAAGACATTTATTTCTAACAGACATACATTGAAAATTTTAAAAAATCGTAAAAAATACAAATACAAAAATACAAAAGAAGATTTAAATTATTAATATATGTCGATATGCTTAAACAAACATAACAACAGTAAATCTACAGATTTAGAGAAGTAATGACACAATGTTTAATTTTGTAAAGACTGTCGGCATGAATGTCACATTCACTACAAATTGCATAAAAATTGCTAGCCAGTACCGGTGATTTTATCAAAAGGTTGTTGTGAGAATATGTACGCACCACAAGAAAACGTTCGTACTTTGAAATCTTGAAACTAAAAAATATAAATATGCCAGTAGCTCACTGCAATCAATTCTATCATAAATAATATTATATAAAAATGTTACTACCATAATTCTTCGTCTTAACTAAAGAAAACATATTAAATCTGTTTAATAAAATAGTGTTATCAATTCCCCTTTGGGGGTACAAACCAACCTCTTTAGAAGTTAAGTATTTTAAAAAACGTCTTTGAACTGATTCAGTAGCATCAATGCAACAGTTATATAATGGATACCAAACAAGAATACAATATTCTAACTTAGACCTAATCAGAGAAGAAAAAAACGAATTTTTGCAGAAGACACAATATTATTAATGTGCTGTCTGAAGCTAAGGCCACTGTCGAAGTAGACGCCCAAATCCTCATAATATTACTGCTATTTATAGATTCAAAGTGATAATTATACAGAATTTGTGATTTTTTCCTAGTATAGGATATTACATTATATTTTGAAAGATTGATATGGATGTGATATTTTTTACACCACTGTAAAATGAAATCAACTATTAGTTTTGTTTATAGGCTCCCGTGGCTGTCGTTAATGGTTGAATGATTTCTGGGCTGGCTGCCACGTCGTCGGTTTACAACACTTGACGTTTCGAGAGACATATCGCTCTCTTCTTCAGAAGTTACTCTGTTTCAGATTTCAATTCAATTCAATTCAATTCAATTTGTGAAGATGATATAATATCTGCCTAAAAACACTTAATTTACTGTCTAAAATTAAAAAAAAATAATTTTTTAACACGCGAGAAATTGTACACTAATGACGATTTAAAATTAGTTACTACATTATGAAACCACCCTGTACTATAAGCCTGCATATTAAGTTGCGTACCTATGCATTCACTAATTGGGCGCTTATGTAATTGGCAAGTAAATACTACTAATTTGTATGGAGAAAGGTATACAGAATTTAGGATAAAAGACCTAAACAAAAAGAAAAAGTAAATTATCGCCGTAAATATTAATACATACTCATCACGCTTTCTAGCAAAGACTACAATGATGAAACATGACATTAACACAATGTAAAAGCTTATTTTTAATTTCGCGTAATAATATAATAGTATTCAAAAACAGCTATATATTTAATAACTTTCTTTCCATGCGCCTAAAGCATAATTATTTTAAGAAGGAAATATTGTTGAGTTAATTGTCACTAAGTTTAAGTATAAGTATTAAAAGAGAAAGATTCTTTACGTCAGACATGTAAGATTTAAGAGACAATTGCTTATTAAAAGTAAACTATAAAGACTAGACAAAGAGACAGAGTGCAGGAAACATAAAAAAGTAAAGGAAACGATAAAATAGATTAATTCATTAACCATTAAAACCAGCATTAGTTTCAATATAATGTCAGGGTCAGTTTCATTTAACTCCTAAGTATAATTTAGTTCAAAATCGCTGTCTTTCTCTCCAAATTTTCCAACCACGACAAATATTCAAGGTACGTTATTTGCATAAACGTGAATGACTTAACATCTTCTACACCCACTTTCTGCATTCAGGTATAAATATTCATAAATGCGTTAATAGGACATTGAAAAATAAAATTGCAAATTACACAATCTTTAACAGTCAAGGAAATGTATGTGACACAATTCTTCAGTTGTGCATTTATCACACACAAATTAAAAATAAAGGTATTAGCCTAACTATATACCAGGTGAAAATCGCACATTTAAAAAATTGTCGCTAACACAAACAGTTATATTCATAAATAAATTTAGCTACACAGACTACATGCAACCAAAATATACTAAAAGTTTTATGCTAAAATCATACAAAATATTAAGCGCGCTTTCATAATTTTAAGGCACTGTCGAGTTAGTAAAAACACTTTTTTTCGATTTTTATCATCTCCAATCTAAATAATTTCATCACAAATTGACCAATAATGAGTATGAAACTCGTTAATATTCATTGAAACAGGATATCTGCAATCTAACTTTTTGTAATTCCTAAGAAATTTTCTCTCACGTGTTTTATTGTATACCTAATTTCAATATTTGTTTTGTTCTGTAGGTTATATATTTCCATATCCGTTATAGAAATGCTCCACTATCGATGTAGTAACATATTTTAAATAAATTCCTCTCCAGATATACTGTGATAAACATCGAAATGACATATTTTTAAAATATTGTCGCTGATGACGAGTATATAACAAATACACCACTTCTAAGTGAATTATGTTGAAAAAAGTATTAAAAACAATTTTTATATCGACAGTGGAACATTTAAGAGATAAGAAAACATCTATATCTTCAGAACGAAACTGAAATCAGAATTTTCAATATAATACGTGAAAGAAAATTTCTAAGAAAATAAAAAAAATAATGGAAGATATAGTAATTTACTGAATTATGTTATAATTTTCTGCAGTTTATAGTTTAGTTGCTAAAATTATTTGAGTATTGAAATAACAGAAAGAGCGGTGTATATTTATATTAAACTAGCTGACCCGGCAAACGTTGTTTAAAAAATAAAAACAGAAAATTTTGTCCAAAAAATAAAAAAAAAAAAATTTTGGGGTGGACCACCCTTAACATTTAGGGGTATGAAAAATAGATGTTGGCCGATTCTCAGACCTACTTAATATGCTCACAAAATTTCATGAGAATCGGTCAAGCCGTTTCGGAGGAGTACGGGAACGAACATTGTGACACGAGAATTTTATATATATTAAGAAGATAAATAGCGTACTTATTATAATAAATTTTTGCACTCTTTGTGGTATTAACAATGTGTCATCAACATCTTTTGAGTAAGTCTAAAGTAAATCAAGATGTCTATTTTTTCTAATTAGGTTTGAGCTTTCTTTTGAGAGTTACAGCGCTATAATCGAAAACATATTTGTGTGAACCGTCTTTATAAATATAACTTTTCGATAATGTGATGTACTAAATAACCTAATATGTAAGAGATTTCTTTTTATTTGTCTTACTATCAGAAACGTATATCATGAATTGGGAGAAATACATTATTTATTATCTCTGTCTGATATTCAGTTGATACCTGACATACCTTGTCTGATAAATTCTCAAAAAAGTGACTTCAAGAAGGCGCAAATCAGGTGGTACAAGGGGATCCCCTAATTATCAGTTGACAGTAACAGTAGTTCAAAGTTTATTTCTACTAAACTTTTTGACATGCGTTATTATATGAAGATAGTTGTTTTTTCTCAGTTTAATTCAAGAAGTAGTTCCAATAACTTCAACATGTACCAAATTTGTCGATAAAACTTACTTTTACAAATAACTTTAAATAATTTTGAAATAGTTTAAATAATAGGTACTAAATCTGGATGTATTATAATGTAAAATGTTTGGTTTTTTTTAGGACAGAGGAACACCACCAAAAAGCACCAACGCCACCGTCCGCATAAAGGTGAACGACAACGACGACCTTCCGCCAAAATTTACAAAAGGTGTTTACAGAACGAAAATCAAGGAATTCTATCCCATCACGGTAAGTATTCACAACATAAACATTTGGAGAAAGTTGAGAGCGATTTTCTTTTAATAATGGCACTTAATAGAACAACTACCATACAGGATTTTAAATGATTCGTGGGAAAGCTGCCGTTACTATTTCAATCGGTCTTTAACTTTCAGCACTGATTAACAGGTTCAAAGTATATTATTTTAATTTTATGAGAGGAAGTTGCGTTTAAATAATTTCTATAGTATTTGCATATGTTAAACAAACATTACATAATAATATAATAATATAATATACATATTATTGATTTAATGTTCATAATAAATAATTAAGTACCTAATCTCTTTTTAATTCTCTTGACTTATTCCAAAACTAATTAATTTTATTAATTTCAATATTTTACAAATTATTTTAAGGACAGTAAAGCGCAGTGTTAAGAAATATTCAGGCTATTTGCATACTTATTTCATTTATTTATAATTTTAACACATTTAAATTTCTTCACAAATATTTCTTCACTTGTTCCTTAAATTTTAAATATTACTTTTTAACACCTTTCGCTTTACCTATCATTTGTAAGATGTAAAGTCTGAAGCAAATAAGAGGACAGTATTTGTAGCAAAGTTTTAATTTTTGTTTCAAAAATGTACAGAATGTGTCATTTAACCGTAATTAATGTCTGTAGCATATTCCTTTCAATAAAAATGTCTTCTATTTTTACTTGTGTTGAATATATTAATTAAGTGATTGTCAACGATCTTCCGAACAAACGACCTTGATTAAAAAAAATCAGTGGTATCTGATGACAGTTACCAAGAAGCGACATTGATGCTAATCTAATGACACCTACATGAACGTATCTTCTTGTAAAATTATGAATGGTAAAGAAAAAGTATTCATTATGTGTGATTACACATAAACCTCCCACATGTTAATCTTTTGTAGCGTTAGTAACGTGGGCTAATCGTTGTAAACATATGTCACTTTCTAGCTATATTGCAACTTTATTTTTATAGTAGTAGTAGACTTGCAAGAACTTATAAAGCAAACGTAACGAGAAATTCCCGTATTCAAGGAAAAAAGACAGATTTGTTAGTAAATCCAAACAGGAAATCCGATAAAAATAAGAAAATAATAAATAATAATAATAATAATAATAATAATAACAATAATAATAATAATAATAATATCTCTACTCCTCATTCTAACTACGAGAATTAGCCCAGAAGTCGGAGACTTGTGCGGGAGAGGAGGCGGCATATTATTATTACGCAGGCCGCATTTGCGCCCAGGAACGACTTATGTTGGTAGGCCCTAACCACCATTCAGTGCAGGAATGAGGGAAACCTGGAAAACCTCATTAATTAGGGGGGTGGTCAAATGCGAACCGGTGTCAATCTCTCACATTGATCCAAGGCAACATTCTTCTATCCTACCATACCTGCACAGAGGGTGCCAATCCTCCGCACAAGCATAGCTAATCTACGGTCTACCGGCCGCGGTATTCGAAACCCGGGCAGATCGACACATCGATTTAAGTACTGACGCCTTAAACCGTGCGGCTATCGACCGAAATACCCTTATAAAATGCATAAAAAAGTGCAAGGATCAGTTTCAGTGTTAACTTCGCCGTTAACTGTTTGAAGGGACGTTAAATGAGAGCAAAGAGAATACTTTTTAATGAATGGTGCCTCAATTATTGATAATAATCGTTGACAATTACGGAAAAACTAAGTACGTAATTTAAAAATGCAATCGAAGAGGTATCAAACTAGTTTTAAACAGCTTTCTGAAAAAAACTGGTCATACAAAATTTCTAGGCTTATATTTAGACCAACATTAAAGATGAAATAACGATATTAACCATGTAGTGTCAAAATAAATTATGTTTACTACGCCCTCTGAAATTTTAACTACACACACAAATTGTTAATTTATTAGTTTATTTTCAGTTAAAGGATTTTATATATTTTTTTTATCCCAGACTACCAATTCAGATAGAATATGTTTGTCTTGTCAGTGCTGCGAGAAACAACTACTCCGAGAGTATGTATAGTAATAATTTAAATCTGGTTAAGCAGGGTCCTTATGGTTTCTCTAAAAACATTAAAGAAATTGGAATTTATTAGAAAATCTCTGCACTCGGCTCTCTCTGTAAACAACTGTTTACATAACATAAATTAATTTGTTGTTCTGTGAAATAATTATTTTAATCTAGTTATTTTGCTAACTTAAGTAAATTGTCTAAAGTACTTGCTTATTGTCTACTGTCGGTATTTCATATTTATCTTTGTTAAATTTATTTTTTTTCTCTGTTTTTAATTGTTTAGTTTATGAAGTTCATAACGTATACAAGGCTGATATGAATAATAGTAAATAAAATAAAATAAACGTAAAAGAAAATACAATAGAAAAGAATTGACCAATTTAAAAGGATTATTGAAGTTGTATTTTTTTAATACTGCGAAAATGAAAATAATATTAAACTTCCACTACTAAAGACGAAACCAAATGTAAGAATGTTAAGAAGTTAAATTTGTTTAGGATATTTTTTACTTATTTACGAAAACTGTTTACTTAAATCTATGAATTTTTGTATTGTAACAATGATTTAAAGGCTGACCTTAAACTACTAGATCGGCAGTAGATAATGAAAAATAATTTCTGCATTCTGAAATATATGTTAGTCAGTGTCAACAATTTTTTCATTGATATCTTTGTTTTGTAAGCAAACTATTGTTAATGAATTTCCAAATATCATATCAACGTCAGACTTACGAAATGCAGTTGTAATGTTGTATTTACAATCTATGTAATTATTGGACAAGGGAGTGTACTAGGACCTCTACTATTTTTGTTATACTGCAATGATTTCTTATACTGCATTTGCGGATGACATAACAGTGTTAGCTTGCCATAGACAACAAACAGATATGACAGCATTGACAAATGTAAACCTTAGGAATATAGAAGCATATTTTCAAATGAATCGTCTTGTGATGAATCAAGAAAGAACTTATATATTACAATTTCACCCCTTACCTTCTAATTATACTAGTAGTCCTTTGGTATCATTGAATATCCATTGTTTATATGTGCTTGAAACTTTGTCAACTATGTAAAATTTGTCAAACAAATCATTTTCAATTTTAATCTTTAAAATAAATGTCGTGATTATCCTACAAGATATGACTTGCATAGAAGAGAACTGTGTAAGTCAAATCCATATTATATGGGTGCATTATTATATAATAAATTACCAGCATCTATAAAAAGCCCAAAATTTTAATAGATTTATCTTGCATCAAAATGCTTTCTATTCTGTGAGCAGCTACTTGGCATATAATTTTAAATAGTCTGTTGGTTCCGTTCTTTTATTGTTAATAATTATTGTAATATACGTTTTTTTATGTTATTTTAATACTTTTGTATATGTTTCAATTGCATTATGTTTCTATTAGTCTTTACTAGTTTGTACGTTTTGACGAGTCATTTATCCGATACTGTGATCTAGTGGACTAATAAATATTTATCTATCTATTTGAAACAGAATGAATTTACAATTAATATCAAATTATGATATTATATATTTATACATAAAGTACTATTTGAAAGCACATCTATACCTTTCTTGAAAATAAACAGTATGTACTAGACAAATACCATTTTGCAAATCTGCTGTTCATCTAACAATAATTCAACATTGACTTTACAATTTATAATTTAATCATTTTCGTTGATTGTTTCAGGGCGCTCGGATCCACCAGCGCTTAAAGTTCAATCCGTCCATCCATGCGTTCGACCAAGACCTTGCGATAGATTCTCCTATTCGATACGATATAATTGCCGGCAACGAGAGGCACTTGTTCTCTCTAGATCATGTTAATGGTTCCCTGTTCCTGGAGAGGGAAATTGATCTCGATGCGGAAAGATCCCTGCCAGGAAATACCTTTGTATTGCAAATTCAGGCATCTCAGATGGACAACCCGCTAAAGACAGGTTAGTGATTGCGAATATTTAGTAGCTACTTAATTTCTCAATGAGATTCTAAATACAATAATTATGAAACTCACTTTTGTGTGATAATAAGTATTAAATTCAGAAAAATAATTTCGATAATGTCATAGCCATTAAGACGATATCAAGATATAATATAGTTATGTCAAATACTCTATCGCATAAAGATGCCCATTTGTTGTTAGTTTTTCGTTTGTTCTTTCCGTTTTCATGTAATGGCGGTCAACCTTCGGTTTTGGATCATCCTGTATTATTATTTTTAGTTATGTTTTATTATTGTCTATTGAACTTATTTATTTAACTGTTTAACTAGAATATTATTATAAAAATGAAGATTGATGAATCGAAAGAATTGTACAAACATGTTATCTTCTATAATTTCTTTAAATTCATTTAATACAATTTTCCAATATCTGATATATTTATAATAGCAAAATATACTTGAGTAACGATATCGAAAAATGTTGCTTTTTTACAAAATAGTTGTAATAATACAAAATAGATAGAAATATAGATTTACAAAGATGTCCGATCTTGTTTCCGTTTTTATAATTCTAATTATTCGGCTGTGTCTTTAAAATGTGCCCCAATTATTTTGCTAATTGGAGAAAATTTTACTTTCTCGTTTTTAAATAACGCGCTCGTTAGATTTGACTTCAGTCAGTGAAGGTTCCACTTATGTAAACTTTCCATGTGGTGAAAAAAAAAAATGTATACTTATTACACAACTATTATTGTTGTATGTTTTTAACATAACGTAAATTGGCATAATTTCTGAAGTAATAGATACACACACAATAAATAGTTATGAATATACAGGGTGTCCGGAAACTAAGCGGTCAAACGGGGAAATCAAATTCTAGGGATGACTTCATATCGAGTTGACATAAATCGTCTTATCCAAATCTAAAAATGGAAGCAAATTTCATAAAAGCAGATTCTTCTATTTTGTCAGAAGTAGAATTGTTAATGGTTATGGATTTTTTAAATAAAAACCACGACTTTATCAGTGCTGAGATGAGAGGAGTAAAAATGCAAAGGTTACGTTTCAATAGCGTGTAAAGCTTCTTTAAAGTACATTTGTAGCGAAAGTTTTGATGTTTTTGTACAATAAGAATAGTAAATAAGAATAAGAATTTTGCGTTTAATTGGACGAAACCGTTTTTGTTACAGGTTTCAAAGATTGTCCTAATCGAATACAAAATTTTTATTACTATTTTTATTCCCATGGAAACTACATAAAATCTACCTAATATCTTATAAATACGAGTATATTAATAATATAATATTTATTAGGTATGTGTTTTTATATAAATACTTAATACCTATAAGTATTTGTATAATCACAAAATAATCAACATAGCCCAGTCATTATAGACATGAAAGAGCCTGTTTCGGGAAAAAAATACTATTAGAAGTTTCTCTGCGGAATATTGTTCGGAAACCTGTTATAAAAAAAATATCAAAAAATCAACTCGAGGCTAGTTGGGAAACTTTGTTTTAACTGTGGTCAAAATTATGGAAAAGTGGTTTTTTGACTCGCGTAAAAAAACTATTATTCATAGCGAAAAAAAGTTTATACAAAAAAGGTAGGTATTAAATAAGCCTATAAAATGAAAAAAGTCCGATTAAATTCCGATAATTTGTTTATGCACAAGAGCTCAAAAATGGTCGAAAATTGCCGTTTTTTTCAATTGCTAATAATTAATGCAATTTTCATCGCAGACACTTGTAATTCAGGATTTTTGAGGCTTTTTACACCCTTAATAAGTGGTAAAAATTTCAGCTCGAAAGCTTCATTGGTTTGGCGTTGGCGGAATTTGTTATCTAAGAAGATGCTATTTTCAATTCATTTTTCCCAAGCTCACAGGCGTTGTAGGGTTTCGATCATTAGTTGTTTTTGTACCTAAATAGTTGTATTGACATATGCATTTACTGAGAATTTAGTTTTTCAAATTTAATTTGTTTAAAAATGACTGAAAAAATGTTAATATTTATTAAATTGTTAAGATAGGTAATTATTATAAAATAAAATAGTAACCTCTATACTTTAGTTTTCTTCGAATTTTAAAAAAAAATCGTTGTTGTAAGTTGATTAGAAGCTGAGATAATTTTCTTTTATTTAATCGCAGTGACCTTAATTATTAATATTAAGAGCCGAAATTTGGAGAGAGTATACGTTAAGAGCTATATTTTCATGTCCTACATCAGGGGTCGGCAAGTAATTTTAGGTGGAGTCCGGATACTTTTGAAAATTTTTAACGAGGTCCAGAAACAAACTCCATTCCTTGTAAAACAAGGTTTATCATTACAAAACTATTTTTGACGCAAATTATTATCTTCTGCGAAGCCATTCACCGACCAGTGGAAAAATTGTAAACGTGCGTTGGAATATAAATTTTCAAGGTCTTGAGCAAGAGTTAAATGAAATCTCCAAGGAAGTTGCTTTTTTAAAGTTTTGTGAACATTAGTTTTACCTACATTTAATAATTGTATTGATGCACTGCGGACACTTCATAATTTGCATGTGTGGAGTGATGAGAATCCTAAAGAAACACGACAATAATGACATTACCTGATAGCCACGGCAATCAACATTTTGTTTTCATCGCCTACTGAACTCATAGTATTAAATCCGTGACACTGCTACGCAAACCGAAACGCACAGACCTGCAAATAATGCCATTTTTCTCAAGAATGGCTTTCTGTAGAGGATTTTCTAATGGGACAATACTTTTTTTAAATGAAACAACCTTTTCAATGTTGCTGCCAGTTTTAAAAAATACAATCACTGTAAAAGTTTTGACCGCTAAAAGGGAGAGGTAACCGGAGAAAACTATCACCCAGTATATCGATTTGACTAAAACTAAGAAATAATACGAAATAAATGTGTCAAATTTTAACGCAAACGGCAAAAGGGTTATGAAGTTATTAATTAAATTAATTTTATTTTTGACAACTTTGCAGGCCTGTAACTTTTTAAGACTTTTTTTTTGTAGATGGTATTCATTTATCCTCCTGAATATACAGTCAAACGTTGTTGGTGATATTTGCGGACACCCTATATACTGCCGCTTCGATTTTTAAAAAATTGAGTACTCTTTGTGGATGTACCTCGTACATTTATTTATACCCAAAATGGGAATTTTTTTGTTGTCCAAAATTGTCGAATTTTCAAGTAGCCTCAAAAATCGTGAATTACAAGTGTCTGCGATGAAAATTGCATTAATTATTAGCAATTGAGAAAAGGGGACAATTTCGACTATTTTTGAGCTCTTGCGCATAAACAAATTATCGGAATTTAATCGGACTTGTCTTATTTTACAGATTTATTTAATACCTACCTTTTTCTCTATGAATAACAGCTTTTTTACGCGAGTCAAAAAAACACTTTTCCATAATTTTGACCATTGTTTTAACAAAGTTTCCCAACTAGTCTCGAGTTGATTTTTTGATATTTTGTTTATAACACGTTTCTGAACAATATTCCGCAGAGAAACTTCTAATCGTATTTTTTTCCCGAAAAAAAGCTATAATGACTGGCCTAACAATAGAAAACACAAGTGTATACAAACGTATTTATTACATACCTAAATTACGCAGGTTAGTTTTGTTGCTTTCAAAATAATTCATTTTCCAAAAAAATATATATATTAAAAACAAAATAAATCAAAGTAGAGACTAATAGACTATTGATTTTAGATCCGCACGACAGAGTTACGGGGACATTATTATCTTCTTAAGCGTCTTCACACTAGTGCTCTCACAGCGGGGAACAATGCAATATTTGTAGTTTTAGTGTCTTCCATATTGCTAATAAAATTCGGTATCTTAACGTACTTAGTCGAAACTTAACAGGCCGACTTACCCGACTGACTAACAACACACGCAAGCATGCGGCGTCGGTTTCCCATGCGGTGACGTCACACCCGCCGTCGCCGGTTCAGTGCCCCAGTTTATGATTTTTTTTGGATGACTTGTAGGCCATATAAAATTCAAATTTTTTGCAGAGAACCTTAAAATTGCAATCTATTTCCGTTAAACAAATAAAAAATATTTGCTGAATGAGCCCATTATTAAATTACAAATTCTTTGCTAGTAGTTGACTTTCAGATTAAGTAATTCCAACTTTTTTATAGAATTGCACTTAATATGTATCTGATACAGTAACTGTATTCAATATCAAACGTTTTATTACTTGAAACATAATTCATTGAAATTATATTTTGTATTTGCAGGTGTTGCCAGAGTAGAGGTTGAAATAATGGACTTGAATGATAACCTGCCGGAGTTCGAGGTTGACTTCTACAACATAAGCATTGTTGAGAATCTGCCAAACGGATTTAGCGTGCTGCAAATCATAGCCACCGACCAAGATCAGGGGGATAATGCGGAATTCTCGTACCAGTTGGAAGATAAAAGTGGAGCCTTTACTCTCGACTCCAGGACCGGCTGGTTAACGGTAATGTGTAATATGTTTGTGAATGTGACATGCATTTTTATTAAGTGTACTACTCAAGGAGCTGTTTTTACAGATATAAATCGTCTTCTTTACTTTGTTACGTAGGCGCCCGGCCTTCTAAACTGCTGTACATAAATATTATGTGCGGCAACTGCAAATGTCGGTTTCTTTTTTTGTCTCTGATTTAAAATACGTCTTTTACGCTGCTAGGCGTAATCATCTCAATGGGATTGTTTCACTGACACGACAGCTTGTATCAATGACAGCGTAAATCAAGAAGCGTTTACATTTATTAAACGCTGAATTAATGCATAATTAATTTGAAATCGAATTGATATTATTTTTTCTCAATTTTAGACATTTGCCTATTTTTACTAAAATGGCTAATTTTTTTAAACATTCATAATGCATGGCATTTTTCAATCCGCAATTAGTCCAGAGAACCTAGGGTTTCCTCTCAGAGTTCTTTCGGATAGAACCGATTGACGTGAAACTTGGACTGTAAGTAGAAAATAGCTCAAGAAACAAAAGTTATATAGTGCTTATGAGCGCTTTTGCCCAGGGGGGTGGAAGCCATCCCTTCTAGGGAGTGAAAAATAAAACATTGAAAAAAAAAACAGGAATCCATAAAGCAATCAATTTTAAGCAAAAAGTATAGTAAGAACATTTTTCGATAAGTCAATATTTATTGGCGATTGAAAATGTACATTTTTTATTAAAAAAAATACGTTTCTCAGTAGTTTTTCTCGAATAACTCGGAAAATAGACATTCTATGAAAAAAAAAACATCACCAAGAAAATGAAGCTTATAGAAAAAAAAAGATCGAGTTTTTTTCATTTATGTGGGTGCAATAGGTAGGTACTGGTTGAAGATAATTTCATGTCCGTTAGAGACTCAATTGGAAGCATTTAACGTAAAATAACTAAAAAAATCTATTTTTCAAGAAGAATGCACAGAACATTTTTTAAAGTACTAAAAATCTTTAAAATGAAGTTAAGTGTAGGTCATTATCATAAAAATTAACAGTTATGGTTAAAATAAAACTGTTAATTCGCTTTTTCGGAAATAAAATCAGTAGGTACAAAAATTTATACATTTTTCACGAGATTTAAAATTAAGGATAATCCTACAATTTACATTGTTTATGTGCTAACAATACAGGCTGTTACAAATTCGCTTCTCACTATAGGGATCTCGGAAACGGTAAGAACTACGAAATAGTTTAAATGGGGGCAAAGTTGCGTAATCAGGGAACCAACAATATGCCTCTAAAAAATCAAGGCTAACATGATTAGTTTTCGAAATATCAAAACGAAATTTTGGAAATCCGTTTTTGTTTAATTGCAGCCTTGTTTGAGGTGATATTGAAAAACAAAGAACACTTTCTCATGGCCACTTTTTGCTCTCTATCGAATAGCATAATCAAATTTTATATATAACGTTTCGTCTCTCCAGGACCATCATCAACTTCATTTTTTTTAAATACGACCCTGGAAATTTTATTACATTTATTGCAAGCCTTCATGACCCCCAATACTGTACTGCCTCAGCCCTAACCATATTCAGACGTTTTGTCTCGAAAAATTCATCTTCAGTGTATTCGTTCCAAATTTATCTAAATTTTTTATTTAGATTTCTTTGTTTATTGAATTATCGTACACTGTAAGTGTCGTTAAACTCTGTGAAATCCATCTAGTTATTTAAACTATTACTACCACGCGCTACAATAGAACATTTATTATTATTAACTATTACCATCACTTGGTCATACATAACTCAATAAGTTGTTGCGTTAACATTAAAACATTGTTACAATTTTAATTTTAGTATAACAAATTTCTCTAGCATTCCTCATATTAAAGAAAAAAATTAAAATGTGAATTTCAATCAAATTAATTCTTAAAAATGCATATGAACCACCAAAATGCTGAATATTATTCTTTAAAAAATTTCAGTAAATGTTGAACATTTTCGTTTTGGCAAAGGTTAAAAATGAAGATCAGCATAATATTATCGGAATTTATTATATCTGTAACTGCGACTGTGAAAGAGCATGTCAGATGTATTTGTATGAATATATTGAAAAAAGTAGATCGAAATTTGTTTGAATTTTGAGCACTCGAGAAGCCTAGAAATAACTATGGACACGGGAATAAAACTTTAATAATGTTTTATTTTAATGCATGGTGGTAATAATTTTAACTAGATGGATTTCACAGGGTCTAACGACACTTACAGTGTACGATAATTCAATAAACAAAGAAATCTAAATAAAAAATTTAGATAAATTTGGAACGAATACACTGAAGATGAGTTTTTCGAGACAAAACGTCTGAATCTGGTTAGGGCTGAGGCAGTACAGTATTGGGGATCATGAAGGCTTGCAAAAAATGCAATAAAATTTCCAGGGTCGTATTTAAAAAAATGAAGTTGATGATGGTCCTGGAGAGACGAAACGTTACATACAAAAATTGATTATGCCATTCGATAGAGGGCAAAAAGTGGCCATGAGAAAGTGTTCTTCTTATTTCAATATCTCCTCAAACAAGGCTGAAATTAAACAAAAACGGATTTCCAAAATTTCGGTTTTTTTTCAAATATTTCGAAAACTAATCATGTTAGCCTTGATTTTTTAGAGGCATAATGTTGGTCCCCTGATTACGCAACTTTGCCCCCATTTAAGCTACTTCGTACCTCTTACCGTTTCCGAGATCCCTGTAGTGAGAATCGAATTTGTAACAGCCTGTATATTATACAATTTTAAGCGGCTTAGAATGCATATTTTTGAAAATATTACGTTTTGATTGAAAAAAAAAATATTACAAATAAAAAACATATTTTTGAAAGTAACTTTAAAAATAATAAAGATACGATAAATATTAGAGTACAAAAGTTTATATCTTTTTTCATATAATATTTTGTTTTTTATTTGTGTAGGATAAAAATTAAGAGATATCGAGAAGGGCGAAGGTTATGTTTTTCAAACCCTTTAACCTCAAAAATCTCAAAAATAACGCTTTAAAAATTATTTAATATTACAGTACTTTTAGCTGTCGATATTTTCCGTAAAATCATTTTTGGATCGTCTTAACAGCTTTAAAATTAAGGAAGTTATCGTTAAAAAACCAACGCTACCTTACCGCTTCAATTTTCAGAACATATCAATATTTTGATTATTCACAACTGTGGAGCATTCTATACATATAGAGTAGATAGAATACCTTCACTTTTTCCCTTTAATCCTTTAATACTTCTACTTATCAACTTTAAATGTATAAAATTGTTTTTATTTGTATAATGAATGGTATTTTTAATAAACCCAGTGATCTGATAAACACTATTATATGAGGGTATTATAATTCATTTTAAATAATTTAAAAGCCATTTTTTATATTTTGTCATTGGCGGTGATTTTTAAGGGTTAAAACAGTGCGATAAATTATAAATTGTACTACTAGGTAAAAGAATTTAATTTATCTTGTTTGTACTATCAAATCATTTCAAACTGTTAAAAACTATTTTTTTTAATATTTTGTTATTAGGGGTAGTTTTTAAGAGTTGAAATATTGTAATAAATTATTTATAATACCATAAACTATTTAAAATATTTCTATCTATAATATATGCGCTATCAAAATATTTTAAGGTCAAAGAAACTATTAATTTTATATTTTATCATTAAGGGTGGTGTTTAAGGGTTGAAACTTTATAAAAATAACGTAAATTATAACCCACAATATAAAACAATATTTATTCTATATATTAAGATATGATTTTAGTCTATATAACACCTATTTTTATATTTATTCAGATTTTTTGCATAAGGGGTGGTTTTCATCCCTTAAAAATAATCATACATGTATGTACATACATTCATCTACAGGGTGAAATAAGCTTAATTCCAAACATTCATAAAAATCGGATCTATCCGAAAGTGATCGGAGGTTTTAACCTATTTTTCTCTTCGTTCCCTGAAATAGGTCCGCCATTTTGGCGGAATTAAACGTTATATTCGTGAATGGTGACTTTGAAAACCACCGAGTAACAAGTTTCGGGCATAATATTCAAATTTTGAATGCTTTTCCGATTTTTACATTCGCTATATTGGATCCGCCATCTTTTCTTCAGGAATTTTCAGATTCGGACATCAGATTCGTAATCAGCTCTAGAACAGAACTTTATTTTTGTGGGGATTGTGTTCTTTAAAATATTAAATAATATTTTTATTTTAGATTTCATTTAAACTGGTTTACATTATTATTTTTCTGTTTCATTATAAATTATGCCTCCTCATATGCTCTTCTAGATAATATCTAGTTTTAGATAAGCATCTTTATTAGAAACAATTTAAAAAAAACTGCAATTAATTGTTCAGTTCACAAATACAATGACAAGTGATTTTACATATTAGGAAATTGGTGTCGTATTTAATTAGTTTTATTACAATAACATGGTAATCATGGCAGATCCGGGTTCGATGTATAATTATTATTGATTGGGTAATAAAAGTGCATGTGCATATTGACAAGCGACAAAGCTACATCGTGTCAGGTTCACTTAGTAATATAATGAATTATTGCTTTTAACTTTTCCCTTTCGAAAAAAATTTATAACAAAGAAGCCTTTGTTAACGCAAGTTTTGCGTAATATCTTGACAAAAGTACTGTAACCACATTGAGTACTTGTAAAGTGATGACTTGCAGTTCTATCAAATGAATACTACAGCAATTTTTTCAAAAGCGTATAAAAACAACAAACTAAGTCTAAGTTGACATGCGGCACTTATATCGTATTTTGCGAATCTCTAGAAGTTTAAAAGTTATTAATCATACATAATATAATGATTTTTTTAACAGGTCGGCCTGCCATATTGTATTTCAAAAAGAATAATTTATTGTCCAATAAAAATCTTGTAAGGCGAACAATAAAGTTTATTATAAAATTATTGAAGATGATTTATAGTAAAGTCTACGAGTAGGACGGAATATGCGGGTGTCCCATTTGAATTGGATTCGTATACATATTATTACTTTTCATAATATCAATTGTACAAAATGTATTTCAAATCAAATTTCTTCATATTTTAAAATTATTTTCGATTACACGAATTCTGAGCGTTACCTTACTTAATTTCTTCAAATAGAACAACATTTTATGTTATTGCTGTTTTTTATTACAGCAATAAAATGTTTTAAAATAACACTTGTAAAGATGGTCAACACTTCTTTACTTTTTAAATTTTAAATGGCGTAATTCGTTAGGGTTTTGGTATGTAGGCAAATTGAATTCAAGTGTCCTGAGTCCTGTTCCTAGTGTTGTCACTAAAAATCACACCACCACCAGATAAAAAATTGTCCTTTACCTTTTACAGTAGGATCTGACCTTAAAGTTAAGAAAACGTATGCCTTTTTTATGTAGTAGGTTTTTTATGGTATTGTAGCTACATAATTTATTTACTACAAAATGTACAGTTTTTCAAATCGCTTTACTTCCAAGATACTTAGATACTTTTACAAAAATTTTATAAAAATAAAAAAAAATTAGTAAATCAAACATACTCTAAGTACATAAAACATAGGTACCAATACAAACATTTTTGTCAGTATTATAGAAAAAGACATATGTTTTATATTTAGTATGAAGTGTATGAATAAAAACCTCTATCGATTTTATAAATTATTGATAACTCCTATTTTTAATATTATTTCTACACCACTGAAAATTTTTCAAAATTAATTTATTTTTTACATTGCGGTTTATTCTACAGCAAAAAGGTGTCTTACTATTTTTAAATGAAATGCCTGGTTTTTGAGAAAAATGGTTTCTTCAAAATGACATTATTTTGATGAGATTGATGGTTAAAGTCCTATTCATAAAAAGTGAATCACTCTGTATATTTAAGTAATTTATACGATCTCCGATATTTTTCAATTATACACCATGCCCCATTTTAATAGATCACCCCGAATAACTTTGCAAGATGACCATCAATTGATAAAATTTTCAGAACAAAAATTGTAAGGTTTCAAGGGATCCGTACTATAATGACGTTGGTTTTAACCTAGGAGTCAATCTTAAGGGTTATTTGGAGGTCAACTCCAGACTTTCAAATGGAAACTATGTTTGTTTTATCTAGAAATGGAAAGTGCAGGAAATTCTACATTCAGAGATATATATTTAATCTAATGAGGTTGACCCCTAGGGACCCTCTGAAGATCAAATCAGCTTAAATAACCCCTAAATTAGACCCCAGGGCGCAAGGTCAGAGTCACAATTAGCCCATAAATCATGATCATAGTAGTTTGTACGGTATTTGCCACAAAATTAATCATCCTTTGCCATAAAATGTAAACATTTCAGTCGAAAGACTGGTGTGACCTTCAGTGCACCTGGGGGGTCAATCTGACCCAAGATCTGGGGTTTCCATTTGAAATTCTGAGGCTGGCCTTCAAATGACCCGTTAGTTTGATTGCTGGGTCAAATCCAAGGTCATTATCCTCCTTAAAACCTTATAACTTTTGCTCTGGAAGTTTTTCAATTGAAGTTCATCCCGCAAAGTTATTCGGGGTGATCTATTAAAATGGAAAACGCATATTTCAAAGTTTCAAAATTGAATTCCACAATCAGAATGCATCTTATACCTAGATTTCTATCTTGTGAACAAAAAATGTTGGTACGTCGCATAAAAATATACACTTTTTTCCATAGTCCCTTACTCTGTATTACCTGAAATATTTGCAATTTTGTTTATTTTTTAAAAATATATATTCTATTATTAACTCTTGTATTTTGTTATTTGAAAGATATTAACTTAATACAAATAAATAAAATTGTGTGTTCTAAAAATCAGTTTTTTCTTATTAAATTATCGAGCATATTTAAACGAAATCGAAATCTGTATGGTTTCCATAGCATATCACAAAACATTTTTATTTTAATATAATTTCCTTACTTTTCTTTATTACTCATGTATTATTTAACAATAAATTAAATTACATTTGCGATGAGAAAGTCATTAAACTCCACGCATGCCAATTAAAGGTACATTATAATTTAAAATTAACGTTTCACACGACTGAAATTAGAAATTAACATCACACGTCATGTAAGGCCAATTTAAATAAAATACACTTACACTTTTGACCACTTTTGTAAGGGTAATAAATAGCGACCAATTATTTTTCTTTCCAGGTCAGAGATCAGACCGTTCTAGATCGTGAGAAGAGGTCCACCATTTCAATGCGCGTTTATGCCAAAGAAAAAGTACCGAGCGTGGTAACAAGTCAATTAGGAGCCTCCTCTGTCAACATCGAGGTTACCTTGCTGGACGCTAATGACAATAATCCCACATTCATCCCTAATAACTTGTACGAGTTCATCATAACGACTAAAGCTAAGAAAGGTAAGTCATCTAATGCCACATATCATTTGAAAAAGTTGAAGATGCTTTAAGTGAAAAGAATGCCCATACAAATTGGTAAAAGAAATTAGAATATTTCACTTTTGTTAAGACCTCGATCCCCCTGTATAACGTTTTAATTTGCGAAGCTAGTACAACCTTGGAGCACTCTGCGTTATAAAAAGTAAATAGAATTTGATAGGACTCCTTTTTGCAACTTTTTTACATACTGCGAGAATAAATGTGTAAATCTCAAGTAAGTAGTTCTCAAAATGTTGTTTGGATAATTTCCTGTTATATAAGACTAATGATATTTGTGAGTACCTAAGCAATTAAACAATAATTTGTTTCATAATTAAATCGCATATCTGTTTTCATACACCTTAATCAATTCTATGTTTGTGTCTGAAATTATCTTACTACTTTTTTTCTGAATGTACGTTCATAATCAGTAGACATATAAAAGGTGTTATATAATGACGTTTTAAAAATTTGGGAAATTGTAAAGGATTAAATTCTTAACATTTTGCAATAAGGAACTTATAGCCGGAAATATGAAATAGAGTTTCTACATTTTCTACGCATTCAATAGGCTAAATGAAACACCAGAATACTGTAGTTTGGAAAATACAGTAGAGTACAATCAAACCGTATCAGTGGCTTCTCTACTTTATAGTAAATATTCAATTTGCCGACCTTCTTCGTTACATAATATGCAACGATGAACAATGTTTTATTTTATCCCTGTAAGATTCCTCGCTCACCTCTGATGGTATAAAACGCTGTAAAGATGCGCTCAATAATCTCAGATACTATTCCTACTGGTGTTGAGTACACCAGGGACTTTATATAACCCCAGAGGAAAAAGTCAAGAAGGGTGAGGCCAGCGGAGCGCGCAAACCAAGGGATTGATAGTCAACCCCTTCCAATTACTCATTGCCTGAAGATGTCTGTGAGATATTCTCTGGCTCGACGCTCAAAATGCTCTGGAATATCGGCGTGTTGAAACCACAAACTAACGCGCAATTGCAAGGGGACGTCCTCCAGAAGTTCAGTTAAGGCATTCTCCAGAAAGTTCAACGACCATGCACCATGCAAACGATCTGGTAGCAAGTGTAGTCCAATAAGGTGATCTCCGAGAATTCCACCAAAAATGAGAATCTCACAGGATTTTCAACGGTCCTTTGGTGCCTATTGCGTGAGTTAAAAATGCCCTCCCTTGTAAGGAGTTCTGGAAAACTGGGGACAACAGCACTGTGAGAATTATTGCCGTGGTTCAGAATCAGGCTGTCCTATACTTTGAACTGGTTGATTGTGGAATGGATGTAGATGCTCACCGTGCAAAACCCACCAGACACTCACGTGATCTACGTGTAATGCGTGAGCAAGTTCTTCAAATGTGTAATTATCCTCCGTGAAATCAGAATTTAACTGCAGTACGTAAAGCACGATAAGCAAACAACTGTACACTGACTCAAGTTGGGTATCTGTGTGTTTACAGCACAACACCAGTGGATGGAAGGGGTGAACTGAAGGACAACAAGCACTAAGTGAACAACAACACAGGCACAGGTATACTGCTGTAGTTATGCGTTTACAGTCTTCCATCCGCAGCAATAACGACACGTCAAAGGGTAGCTATCCAAATGATAGTGTTGCTCTAGTAATAAAGCTCTTAAGACAGATTCAGTGAGTGAAACAATCATTTTTCATTTTGATTTTCTGTTGCAACTAAGGTAGGTTTTGAAACATTGGTATGACAATTGAGATACAAGCGTTTATTGAATATTTGTTAGTAGATAATATATCCGTTGTAACGCAGTTGTTCAGCAATTTCTATCAAGAATTTAAACATATTGATTTTACTGAACAAGCCGAAGCTCTAATGGTTCGGCCATGCCAAGAAATGTTGATAAGTGCAAGAAGAAACAAAACAAAAATATTGTGGATATGAAACGCTAGGGATGTTCCTTCTACGGATATCATTTTTGTCTAAAATCACAAGATGGCATATTTGTGATTTAAGTTGTCTGGTGACTCTTGATGAGATATCAATTTACTTATAATTGAATGAAATAGCTTTTGAGTGGCGCTCTCATGAAGCTGCTTCAAATTACTAGACACTATAATTTGCTTGACCATTCTGAAAAACCTAGATTCTGTTAATTTGGAGCTCAATATTACAAAAAATCAAAATTGAAATAAGTATTATATCAACTTTCAAAATAAGGTAATTAAGTCTAATTAAATTGTGTTATTTTAGTTTCTTCTAATTCGCAGCTATTCCGTTCCCATTAATCTTAAGATATCCTGTATGACTATGTTTCTATATATACCTATTTCATTTTTTCGAGCATGTTATCATATAACTTCATTATCTTCTGTTACAGTTGTCGTTGATTTACTTTCTTATAAGTTTCTGAATTATTTAGTATTGCAGAACGGTTATATTAAACCGGTATCAAAGCGAAAGCTATTCAAAACACATTATTGATGATGTATAAGGAAACAGAAAGATACTATTTTAGCGTCATTCTCTAACACATAAAATACCATAAAATAAAACTGATATAGCTGTTTTAGTCTGCAACCGCACTGATTACTTGAAGTCTTGTAGAATGTAAGAATTTAGAAGCAGATGCTTCGAAAACATTACTTTTACTTGCGATTTCCATTGGCAGTTGTAAATTTAAATTAAGAATATTCTTGTAATTTCTAATTATTGTCAGTTTTAAAACTACAGAACTATATCTGTTTAAAAGAAATCCAACAAAAAAAATTGGCTGAAGATTATCTATTGACTGCTTAAACCCCTTCCAATTTCAACAACACTGGGAAACTTCTGTCAAAATTTTATGAGAATATTACTGTGTATGAGATTCACTGTGTTCAATCGTTTCTGAGTAACAATTTTCAAGAATTATCTTATCTCTTGTTTTTTTACCTTTGATGGAGGAACTGCAACTTCGCTATTGTACATAAAAGTAAAAAAAAAAAACTGTTTTTGTAAAACCAAGTACACACTGTACGTGTGTATATCTGGACAAGGAGGGAGCAAATGGTTTTACCTGAAGTAAAGAATGAGGCGACAATCCAGGTCACAATTCGAATTTTACTGAAATATCGCTGCAAAAACATATCGAACGAATTAATTTGGTACATACTGTGGTCGCTGTCATTTCTACTTTATAGAAAAAGATGTGCAGGCGTTAACCAAATATATTGATAGAAAAAAATATTTTAAGCAAGTTATAAAAAGAATAAAGTGGCAACTTTAACGATTTCACAAAAATGTCTCAACATTTTTTTTTTACCATAATTTATTATGGCTTTCAGTATAAGCAGGATACAGGTGATCTGGAATATTAACGGGTGAGTTGGGCCTACCAGAGGTTAAAGGAATATTGGTCAACGGGTCGAGAGCGCCTCAAAAAGACATTTGCATGCAGCCTTCCTTGGCATACCGCTGGACCAAAGGAGCGAACAATCGAAAGTTTTTAATGGAATAACCAGATATTTAGCAACAACGACAATATATATTACTATTTATGATTGCTCGGTTCAGTGATTGACGTACTTATCATAAATGTGGAAAATTGCAGCGTCAGCAACTCTTCTGAATCCTCTTCGACATAATCGAAATGGAACATCTATGTGTTCTTTTTTTTTGTGACTTGATTATTCTTTATTTATAAACATAATTTGCAGTGGACTTATCTTTTATTTATTTATTTATTTATCTTGTTGCGGATAAAAAAGGATTGTATAACAATAGTCAAATAAACATATAATAACTTAACCTAAGACACAACAGCAGAACAAAATTCCAATAAAGAATAAAAACACTTATCTACTAAAAATAATTTCAGTTTTTGTTTAAATTGAGATATTGTAATCTTATTAGTTTTGAGTTCACTCGGTAAATGGTTATATATCTCTTAAATCCCAAACAATCTGCTGAATTAGCTGTTATGGTATATTTTGCAAAAGGAATTCGGATATCATCATCTAAATCTACATCTAAATTCATTTTATTGTATTTATAGGCAAAACCTTATTTTTGCAACTTTATAAACACGATGGGTGTTGTGATAGTAGCTTTATTTCGCTTTTGTTGTTTAAAATCATAATAAGCATAATTATGTATTAATATGGCATTAAAAAATAAAATTGTGGTGCAAAATAAAAACTCATATCATGTACACACAAATAATTTAATACTTTTGGTCTGTGTTTTGTTTGGACATTTTGCCACAAAGCCGGACCTGCGTAGAACGTACAGCTTGTGGACCATTCACATAGGGATGTACGTTGTAAATTCGTATGATTTTTGTTTGGTTTTTAACTCGTATCCGTTCAAATTTAGATGCGTACCAGGCTTTAACATGGGGCAGAATAGTATTCGAGTGATTTTAGACTCACACAACCGCAGTTTACAGCTAAAATCTACATTTATACCTTTATAAGGTATATGAGGGCTTGAAACGTCCGCTTTCGTACTGAAATATGGATCCAGCTAAAAACATGTAATGAAATAGATATAAAAAAAAATAACACGTTCAAATATGATACGGAATTAATAAAAAATATATTTTGAATAGCGTGACAGAATAATACAAAACCATGTAGGAGAAAATACAGAGCCTTCATAAATGATTACAAGCAACGTGACCAATAATTTTGTTTGGAACAGCAAGTAATTTTATTTCTTTCACTTCGGCAATTAAATTTCGGTGAAATTAAAAATTATTAAAACAATAAGATCAAGATCACATTAAAACACAACATTCTGTTTGACCGGCTGTGATTGGTGCAATTTTTCCCCAGATACGTACTATTCAACCAATCGCGTAGATGTAACGGTTTGTTATTGTTCATTGTAAACGAATCATTGATATTAGTGACGCTAAGATTTAGGGTATTTCTGTTACCAGTACCAATCGTACAATGTTGAATTGCCTAAGCTGAGCGGTCATGTGGCTTGTAAACATTTATTAATGATAATTACATGAACATATCATAACAATGGATGTATCCAATTATATACATCATCCATTCATCTGTGGTGAATCCTCTTTATTCATGAATATATTTGAATAAAAAAACACCAAACATCTAATTAGGTGGAAATAACCTTTTTTTTTCAGAGATTGCCTTTAGTATTTAGCTTTGCAATAGATTATCCAGTTATATGCAAATTTTGTTTGTAACTGATCGTTTTACATTGTTGTCATTGTACTGAACATTTTTTAAGGTGATCTCGTGGGACAACTCCACGCTATCGATCCAGATTTAGGAAGAAACGGATTCGTGACATACTCTATACAGAAAGCGCCAAATAGCAGCATTCCGTTTGAAGTCGATACCAAATCTGGACAAATAATGGTGACACAGGATGACCTGCAAGCCAGCGAACATCTTCTGTTTGTCGAAGCATCAGATCAACCCGTCAATCCCAGCGAAAAAAGATCCGCCTTGGCTGTTGTTACTGTGGATATTCGGGATCAGAACGGTAATAATGTTAAAGATATTCCGCATTAATTTAAAAATCAGTAATCAAAATGTTAACCTAATGATTTTTTATTTTTTTTTACTATATTTGTAAATATATTTACATTAGAAGGAATATGTTCTAAAAACGTTGTGAAATTAAGGAAAGTTGTTGCACGTTAAACAGCGAAACTTTAGCAAGAAACTGCTATTAAATTAATTTTTATCACTTTATGTTTTCATGTATTAATTATTATAATACGTTATTAACATGTAATTAATTAATATTCGGTTCTCATGAGTGATTCGAGTAAACAGTTTCCTGCACATTTTTATTTTGAATAAAGGAAATTGCTGGTTAATTTAGAATTGCGTGTGTTATGTTTTATGACTTTTACCCTTTGGAAATCTTAGTCATATCCGTAACTTATTGTTTGTACTGCACTTAAATGTTGCTTAATGAGTGATTAACTCAATTCCTGTCATTAATTTTGAGACAGAGGTGTGATTTGGAGCACTATTGTGATACAGGGTTAGGCAAATGTGTGCTGTGTACAAGGTGAACCATAAGTTTGATTAAAAAATACCTTTAACAAAAGTTCTTGTAGTATTTTTATTCTTTTCAATGACTACTTTAATTTCCAATATTTACTTTATTTTTAGAGATACGGCGTTGTCGGCAGTTTTTTTAAATGGACCTCCTTGTTTATTTTAACTTTTTTTAACAATAAAACAAACAGTAAACATTTTTTTAGTTAATGAAAAAGAAGTTTATTATTGCAAAATAGGGAACACTTGAATATTAAAGAAAGATTCATTATAAATATTGACACTGGGGACGTTCGGCAGCCTGACAATATCCTAATCGATCAACGAAAGATCTTAAGGAATTTTGAATGGCATGCTGTGATATATTTTTAACATCATCCTAATTAGATCTTCCAAATCTTCTAACGACTGAGGTTTGGTCTTGTAGACAATAGATTGATAAACGAACCCAAAGGAAATAGTCTAACGGACTTAAATCTGGCGATCGCGATGGCCATTCAATATATCCTCTTCGACTTATCCGTCTCTGTGCAAATACGTTATTTAGGCACCGACGCATTTCAACTCCATATAATGAGGCGGAGCTCCATCTTGTTGGTACCTTCCTTAAGAAGAATAATAACTAGTCAATTAAAACTTGCTTGGTTTATTTATGCTTTTTATAAATACTGTATTATACAAGTTTGTTCCAGTAAAGAGAACTTTTCAAAAATGGGTATTTCTAAGGAGGTCATCTATTGGCAATTACATGCGTCGAAAAGGTAGATCCTTCACTGATGTACTGTCGAAATTTCATAACATTTGGACGAACAAAAGTGGAGTCATTAACACTAATTGTAGGCATAAAAACCATGAAAACCCAATACACTGAAAACTACGCATTCTAGGCCACATGTTTCCTTAACACATGTTAGCAACCGCCTGTTTAACACTGGACAATAATAATTTCTGTTTTTGTTTTTTTTTATTTTAGAAAATAGAGAGCCGGATTTCATTGGCGCTCCTTATGAATTCTGGGTGGGAGGAAATGTGGATATCGGTACAAGTGTGGGACAAATACGAATTACTGAATTCAACAACATGGGAACCATTTTATACGACTTGCTCCATAGTTACCACGAGGGAGGTAAAAATGATATTCTTCAATATTTATATTCCACTAATCATCAAATTGTCCTTAGTTCCTTTTGCTGTAGAAGAAAAATCTGGAACGATAACAGTTGTCGACGATCTGAACAAATTCAACCGCGAAAATTACGATTTTGAGGCTTTTGTTAATAACGAAGGGGATCTTAGTCTTGTAACTAACGTGACTATTCACGTTGTTGACCCGAAAGACGAAAAAACCATTCTTATGAAGTAAGCAGTAAAATATACAATAATTAGATCTAAATTGAATGTTTAATATGTTTTAGAACAGGGACTACACCTATAGAATTTCACGTCAAAGAAAACGAACCAAACATTCTTATAGGAAAACTAGGCTTTAAAACTAATGGTACAAATAATTTGAAATTCACGATAGCCAACCAGAAAGATGTAACTGACCATATTTCAATTACATCGGATGGTACATTATACACCCAAAAACCCTTAGATCGAGAAACCAGGGATATTTACAGACTGACAATTATTGCTGAGTACAACAAAGGATCTGTACTTGGTACCGGCATTTATCAAGTAAACGTTATTGTAGATGACGAAAATGATAACAAACCCCTTTTTGAAAGAGAAAGCTACGAAGGAAAAATAACAGAGAATTCTAAATCTGGAACTGAGGTTGACTTGAACTATCCTATCCATGTGAGCGACAGTGACGTTGGTCATAATGGTCAATTTACTGTAACTATTTTCGGAAACGGAAGTGAATATTTCCGACTAGATCGAAACTTGGGTAAAATTCAATTCACTGGGGCGAATACACCATTAGATAGAGAAACCACTAGTGTTTATAATTTAAGATTAGTCGCTACAGATGAAGGTGGACTAACTAGTGAAGCAAAACTGACGATTCAAGTGGAAGATGAAAACGATAATTCTCCTTTATTTGTACAATTTTACTTGTACCCAGATAAGGGCATAGAGGTTTTACAGTATGACTCGACAGGTAGTCGAGTAGGACATTTCGAGGAAGCGAGCAACTCTACTCCGGGATTGTTTGTGTTAACACAAAACTTTTTGAGGATCAGAAAACCAAAGGAAAAAATATCTCCCTTAGTATCATTACCAGAGGATATTGCTGTTGGTAGGTATTAATGTTTCTGGTTATTTTCCAATTAATTTCGTTTGTTTGCAGGAAGTTCGGTAATAAAAGCTATTGCAGAAGATAAAGATGACGGAGAAAACTCCGTGATTAAATATGAAATGGTTTCAGAAACATACATTCCCAACGAATTATCTTCAGCTCCTTTCCATATTATCCAGTACTTCATGGTGCAACCAACAACAGGAGAAGTTGTTATAGCAAGGGCACTGCCCGCAGAATCAGAATTCAGGCTAAATATATCAGCTACCGACAAAGGTGGATTTAAAGACCACCTTTCTGTTAGAATAACTGTAAGGGATGTAAACGATCACCCTCCTGTATTCAAAAAGTCGTGGTACAACTTCGACGCTGAAGAAGCTTCTTACACAAGGAACACCTTGGGTAGAATAGAGGCCACTGATGCAGATTTTGGTTCAAATGCTAACATAACTTATTCGATCAAAAATAACTCAACTGTTCCATTTAGTATTTCCCCCACTACTGGAGCTTTACGCGTGGATGGATTATTGGATAGGGAAACACAAGATAAATATTCCTTCGTGGTTGTAGCCAAAGATAATCCAAAATCTGGTAAAAGTTTAAGTAGTTCCGTAAACGTTGAAGTTAACGTGTTGGATATAAATGATAATCCACCTGTATTTTATGGATATGACGACTTGATACCCAACCCCGAAGCAAATAACTTTAGCAACCATAATTATCAGCAAAAAATCCCAGTGTATTACGCGACTGCTGCAGAAAACAGTCCAATGGGTAAGCGATTGTACTCCAAAGGAAATATGTTTTATTAAAAGAAAAACAATGTGTTTAATAATTAAAATTTTTAAAACAAAATCAGTAATTCCAACCCAAAACAATTTTAAACGTGATAAATGTTTTTAATACTTTGCTTTCGTATATTTATAGCTTTTAATTCAACCTTTGAACAGTCGTTAAACAACAGTAATGAATACAAATGCCACATAAATTGCATTTGTGTTAAAGAAAAATAGAATTTAATAAATAATAACAAGTATTGCACGTGAGTAATGTGCGGTCTTATTTCAGGTACGCCAATAACGCGTGTGTTCGCCAACGACTCAGATTTCACAGGAAACGGCAATGGTCTTATTTTGTTCGACATTCCTTACAGAAAAAGTAGGCAAAATTTATTCGCTATCGACTCCAAAGAAGGTAAGTAAATACATTAAAGCAATTAATACGTCTAGATGTGATGAAGTGATATTTACCTATGTAATGAGGGCATTATAGACACTTAATTGGTCTAGAATTGATCAGAGTAAAGCAACAGAGTTGTTTTACAATATGTACTATGAAACATTCCAGTACAGGATGATTTATTAGAACCTGGCTATATTTTAAAAGTGGATTAGCCGAACATATTGAAAATTATCTAGTTGCATTATAATGCAACTTTGCAATCATAAAATAAAATTTCAGAGTAATCCTATTATTTTGAATTTTCAATAAAGTGTGTGATTCTTTGGCTCATTTTAAGAAAAAAGTTCTTATTAACATAGGTCCGCAAATGCACCGTTTTCGAGATATAGGGTATACATTTTTTTTTATTTTTTCAGTTTTTTGACGATATCTTAGGAACCGTTTGAAATACAGAACATAAATTTTATACTAATGAAATTAAAATATTTTTTTACGATTCGGACAATTTCTGCACAAGAGAGTTCAACTGCAACTTCAACAAAAATATGTACCGACAATGATTCAGAGTGATTCAGTCATAATGTCATTAATTTTAAGGGAAGATACGGGATGAATAGACGCGATTAAAAAGGTTTAAAATGCATATTTATACCGAAACAGAAAATATTTTCAAATCATTATTTAAATCCCTTTTCAGACCGCTGACACACAAAGGTTTATAGAGAGTGAATCTTGAACTACCGTAATATTCGGTCATTAACCTAGCTTTTAAGTCGTTTTTAATCCTTTGTGAACGACAACAAATAAACAGAGCTTTTTACCTAGACAGATGATGAATAAAATATTCTTTTACATCTTAAATATGAACAAGTATTATATATTTGTTACATTAATACGATTTCCTGCACATGTAAATATTCATATTACGGCTCTGATCAGCGCTTCTCCTTCCAAGGTCACAGAAAGAATGAGATCAAAGTACTGACAACGGAGTGTAACTGCTGATTTACATAATGCTGCGCACGAACTGTATTCAATCCGTGGAGGCAGCACTACAATGTCATGTTACAATTGACAAGTAATAACTAGGAGCAGAAAATCCCTCGCGGAGTACCCGGGAAATTTCACGTTACCACAAAACAGTGTGAAGAGAAAATTGTTGTGTTTTTTTAACTCTAATTTCGATACAGCTATGGGACGTTGTGTATGTAATAATTGCTATAAATAAATCTTTGACTGCTACAGCTACACCTTACGGTATTCTTCTAATGAATGTCCCTAGACTGACTTGCTTAGATAAAAATTAGTCTTAACCAATATTCCGTATACGCTTTAATTATTGTACGCAACCTTCCTAATACACCTTTAAATTATTCTTTGACACATTAGCATTGCATTTTCATGTGACGAAAAATTAGTACGGTTGGGTGATTTTAATATCCCTTGTTATGTAGTGTATACTATGGGCACTTTGCCTGCAAGATATGTTAACACCATTAGTTAATTTTTTAGTTTTTCTCGGTGTAGTTTTACCAATCAGCTTATATGTCCTTATCTTCATTTAATGTAATAGACTTTGAATCTAGGTATAACAGTGATATGTCAAATATTTCTTAAAAAAAGACGTTATTTTAAAAACTCTAAGATTTAAAGATAACCTAATAGCAGAACTCCTTGCATCTTTTTTTTAAGAGACATCTCCTTTAATAACTCCCTTTTGACACATCAAAAATTAAATTATTATTATATAGGACAAAAACTAATATCTGCCTCTGTATTTTATTGCAATATTTTGTAATTTTGCTAAGTTGTGTAAAATTACTCTGCATAAACTCTATACTTTCATGTTAAAAGTCAAGTATCGATTTTTCAACATTGGTTAAAGTTCACACCAATAACCTTTTTACTAATTTAACAGATCATTGAGTAACGTACGTCGACTGAAACTATCGCCCGTTCTGGAGTACCTCAGGGTTCAGTTCTTAGCCCGCTATTATTTAATACGTTCATTAATGATACTTATGATAACCTTCTAACTAATGTTTTTTTATATGCAGTTGACCTCAAACCGTTTATCACTGTTAGATCTATTGGAGACCCTATTATTCTGCGAAAACATCTTCAAAAGTGTTGCCAAAACAATAAATTGCCACTAAACCTATTAAAATGTTACATTATGACATACACTAGGAAAAATAAATATACTAGATACTGAAATTGTGTCGCGTAGCACTGAGTTTCAAGATTTGGGTGTAATTTTACTAAATTAACTTTTATTCCTCATATTACACAGTCGCTTTGCTGAATAATGCTTTTGTTGGGTCAAAACTTGAGTATGCAGCCATAATTTGGAACTCAATATGACATAAAATATATTCTCATTAAGTGCATTCGGAAAAGTTCAGGGGTAATTTCCTAAGTATCTTTTCTTTAGACTTTATCAGTGATATTCTACAATCTGGTTCGAGTAGAAGCATTACGAATGATTTAACATTACGCAGAAAATACTTTTGTCTTTTATTCATGTATAAACTTTTAAAACATATACTGTTCTGTATATTCTGCCAAACAATCAATATTCCATTCGTCTAATCTTGCACTTATACTTTATTGTATTATCTACCCCACATAGCAAATTATACTTACTATTACTTTTTTTACCTCCTATATGAATTTATTTGCCACTTAAATCTGTCTCATAAAAATTAAAGACACAGATTTAACTGAGAAATGAAGTTACTGGACAGTTGAAAAAAAAAACGGTTTTCGGTTTAGTGTTTGAAGACGTAAATGTCTATTTTAGATTGAACTAAATATAATTATAATAATATAACTAATTGTTTGTATATATCCTGCCCTATAACTGGAATTGTCTGCCGAGTTATTGTATTATATACAGGGCGTTTTTAAATGACGTAGCAAAAATGGTACTAGTGAATGTAGAGCCAAAACTAAGAGGATTGAGGTAAAAATACTTTATATGAAAGTTGCACCCCTGAGGCGATATACCCTCTTAAAGGAGGGGATTGAAATTCACATTTTATTTATTTTTTTCTTTAACATGAGGAATGCTAGAGACACGATACCTGGTATGAGTATCCTACTAATAAAGAGACAACTTTTCAATATTTAGAAATTTTTTATATGAAGCAAATTATTTATTGGGAAGACTGATTTATTGCCCAACTTTTTTACCTCTTGTATTTTTTCAATAAAACCGATAGTTTTCTAATAAAAAAATGCGCCATCGTTCACTAAAGGGTTAATTAATTGTGAAAATTTGTAAAAATAAAGTAGGCGGATGTTATAACAAACAAATTGTTATTTATCATATTAATAAATTGACACTTTCTATCAATAAGCTGGTAATTTAATAATAACATTAAGAATAATTTGCTATTAATTAATAAAAAATGTTATAACTTATGACTATGGGACATGTATTAGGTAAAGTTATTTATCTGAAATAAAATTTAATACAAACGAAAAACAAGAAATGCAAAATTAAATTTAAAGAATATTCTCGAAATAATTTCCATTTTGCTGCAAGCATAACTTAATACGTCTGTTGAAGTTACAACGCACTCGCACAAACAGTTCTTGGTTATTGCGAAGGTCATCTGCTGCCTGAAATATTCTTAAGCCTAGTTCTTCTAAGGAGGCAACAGGAGTGGCATAAACAATGCTTTTTATGTGTCCCCACAAAAAGAAATCCATAGGCATTAGGTTAGGTGAACGTGCAGGCCAACAAAAAGGGGCATCACGACCACGACCAATTCAGCGATTCGGATAATTTAAATTTAACCATTCTCTAACGGCAAGTGTACTATGTGCAGGCGCCCGCCCCATCGTGAATATACCACATCACCTGACGTGTAGTGAGGTGTACATCCACAAGTACTGTTGGAAGATTTTCGTTCAAAAACCTAAGATACTCGGCCGCTCCAAGCCTATATGGAAGACTAAAAGGACCTACTAGAGTAGGTATTTCCTACAATTCCCATCCAAACGTTTAATCTGAAATTATGTTGACATGTTGAAACAAATATTTCATGAGTATTTTCTTCCGACCATGAATGAACATTATGAAGGTTTACTGCACCTACTCTAAGAAAATTTGCTTCATCGGTGAAAAGTATATTCATTAGGAAATTTAAGTCATGCCTGGAAATATTAATGTACCATTGACAAAAATCCACACGGCTAGGTAAATCAAGGTCATTCAATTCTTGCACGGGTTGATGGTGAAAAGGGTATAAAAGATTTTCTTGAGCTACATTCCACACAAGACTGTGAGAAACTTGCAGTTGCCTGGACATCTGTCTTGTGCTTGTACCAGAGTCTTGTTCTAGATGTTCCAGTACAGCTTCCTCAGTTTCAACAGTTCGGACATTACGCCTTTTTCCGTCACCCTCACGGTTGGGTTGAATTTTACCAGTTTTGCGAAGCTTTCTTTCCACCGAGGCCAATATGGAGGAATCGGTCGGTTTGGATATCTTTGGTGGTATAATCTTACTGCAGCGTTACTATTTTTCCTGAATTCGAAAAACACTTGGAGCATGTCGACATATTCGTCATTGGTATAAATATTATTTGCCATAATTATTCTGATAATAAATTAATCAATTGGTACTAATTATTGGTTGAGAGAAAGTGTTAATTTATTAATATGATAAATAACAATTTATTTGTTATGACATCCGCCTACTTTATTTTTACAAATTTTCGCAATTACCCCTTTATTGAACGATGACGCATCTAATTTTTTTACTATAAAACTATCGGTTTTATCGAAAAATTACAAGAGGTAAAAAGGTATTTTTACTTCCATCCTCTTATTTGTGGCTCTAAATTCACTGGTACCATTTTTGCTACTTCATTTAAAAACACCCTATACATATAAATAGAGGTTATGTATGTTATGAATGAATTAACATATACTCCAACAACTTTCTGTATTGCATTTTCTGTTAAAAAGAAGATAAATTAGATTAATGCCTATAAGTCTTCCTTTTTATTTCCAGGCATCGTCACGACAATAGGAAAGCTGGACTACGAATCTGAAAAGTCGCACAACATAACCATTCTGGCTTCAGACCTTGGGTCACCAAGCCTGAGCTCCACGGCCATCCTGATTGTAAATATAATAGATGTACCGGAAGACATTAAATCCATAGAACGTCCCGTGTTCGCACATCGGTATTATGAGGTGGAAGTGGAGGAAAACGTCCCCGTCCCACTGAGAGTCCTCACGTTGAACGTTACCGAGCCCTATAGATCACACAAATTACGTTACAGCATCGTGGCGGAGAACTCCAGCGATGTCAAGCGTACATTCAGGATTGATCCCAGGAATGGTTCCTTGTATATTATAGAAAGCCCAGACAGAGAACAAAAAGCACTGTACGAGCTAATAATCCGTTTGGACCAGTATAAAGTCGGGAGGGATATGACCGTTATGATTTATCCAGTGACAAATGAGCGTCTGGGTAACTTAGGTAAGGGTGTTTTATTTTCTACAGTTCTACATCATTACTCTTTTTCGCGACATATATCATGACGATTTATACGGGACAGTACATTTTAAAATTCAAACAAAAATTAATTATGGACATAAGGAATTCAAATGTAACAACAGAGACGGACTTCAAATATAGTTATATTTATTTGAGTAATTTTGCCGAGCACTGTATCCTCTTTAAGGAGGTTTATCTGATTTGGAATTGACGAACAAATGTTCATAAAAAAATAATATAAGCTTATTAATATGAAGAAAATCCTCAAAAAAAAAATATGACTAGTTTGGATACCTAAGAGTCGAGATATTAATTAAAAAAATTTTCACTATTTAGTACAGTCTTATGAGAATGTAGATTTTTTTGGTCTTTCCACTTAGAATGCGCAACAATTGACGAACGGTTACCACAGCAACTTGTATAAATAGAAAACAGATATCTAAGGAACCGTATGACAGCTCGTAGGAATCGATTAGGTACTTGTAAGATACATAATTTATAATAAATAATTCTCTTTCAAACTGCTGTTGTTGACTAACTTAACCTTCATATGCGTGATAGCGACAACGCCGCGGTTCTCGAAGTAGCGTATTATTTGAAATTCGCTGGTGTGACATAATCTGATGTACATTTCAAGCTTAGGCATCCAAACAAAGCCAGCCAAGTGCAACGTTGCCAAATCTAAAGGCTTACTACTTACAGAAACTCTCGTCAGACTTTAGATGTACATTCGACGCAAGATAAATGTTATCAACCTAAACGGCATACTACTTTTAAAGGGGCGAGCCGGTGGACTATTAATAGGAATTTTAATCATGAGATTTGGATCATATCTTATCTGGTTAACTGCATCCTAAATTCTTTCAAGTAATTGCTGACGGATAGTAATTTTAACAAGGTAGACAAGTTGCTTAATATGTCCCCATAAATAAAAGTCCAACGGATTTAGATCTGGGGAACACGGTGGACTTGCTATTGGACCTTGTTGACCTATTCATTTATTCGGGAAATGATCATTTAACCAAGCAGTTACTTGTCTCACTCTATGTGGTGGTGCACCATCGTGCTTAAATGATCGTTCAAATGCAGATCTGTATAGAGCTTTCTTGGGAAATAATGTTTTTGATTTCATTGATGACGTAAGTCTTAATATTGTTCAAAATATGTGTTTTAAAACATGTACAGGCAGTAAATTATTATCAAAATTGATTGACACTGAACCGTTGCTGAAATCATCTTTTATTACATACGGATTTTGTATACATTGTGTGGATTACACAGGTCAACAAGGGTCAAGAAGCATACACACTAATATACATTCCCGAAGGATTTTGGTGCGCTGAATCCGAATCTGGCCGCAGAATTGCTCTATCACGTCAGGTTTTTATATATATCCTGAAAGTACAAAAACACTGTTTTTCGACATATTTGAGGTTATGTAGTAATACCATCTATTCTTTTAAAAAAAATACATCTAATTTAAAAGTACAAGGCTCCCTCTTTCAAATGCCGTTGAGTTTGCTCAAATATCTTTTTTTTTCGTTGAGATATCACACGTTGAAATTTCTAAGTTTATCAGTTTCTTAATATGCGAAAATTGACTAAGGATCCCTTAGACGTCAAACAGTTCATTGCTGTTCAGAAACTTCATATTCAGAAACCTTCAATATATACGAACTCAAACTCACAAACTCCAAGTCCACAAACCCACAAATCCCAAACCCACAATCCCTAAACTCACAAACCCCAATCCCATAAAACCAGAACCTACAAACTCCAAGTTTACAATCCCAAAGTCCACCAACTCCAAACCCACAAACCGTATGGGTATGAAGTTTCTTAATTGCAATCGACTGCTTGATGTCTAAGGGATCCTTAGTAGATTTTCGCATATTAAGAAACTGAGAAACTTAAAAATTTCAATATGTGATATCTCAACGAAAAAAAAATTGACATTTGAGCAAACTCAACGGCATTTCGAAGGAGGGAGCCTTGTACTTTTAGATTCAATGTATTAGATTTTTGAAAAAGAATAGATGGTATAGTAATACCATCTATTCTTGAGGTTATGTAGTAACATAACCTCAAATATGACGAAAAACAGTGTTTTTTGCACTTTTAGGTTAAGGATATCTCAAAAACCTGACGTGATAAAGCAATTCTACTGATTCGGATTCAGGGCACCTAAATCCTTCGGAAATATATATTCAAGTTTCTGCTTCCAAAAAAGTAAAATTTTGTTGGCCTGTAACTATTATTTATGCCGTCCCTAGTAAAACACGCTTCATCAGGCCACATGACAAAATACAACATAACCAGCGACAAAATACTAATCGCTGTAAGCAATGGTTATACAGCACCGACAGATCCTTAGGAAAAACCAATTTAAAACAACTTAACTAACTTCCTTAGTCCAAAACGCTTCGTATGTATAAGTTGCAAAGAGTTAATCTTACTTTTAAAATGTGTCATTAATATTTTAAAACCGACGTACGATATCTGATTCAAATTTGGTATACGTTATAAGGGCTCCGGAAACAATAAAAATCATCTCCAAACATTTCACTAACTGCACCAGTGGCACACCGGATGTGAGTTCCTTTTTCTGAAAGTATTTTCCCCGCATATGGATCTTCAGAAATGCTACAGAATCTTTGTCGATTCCATATAAAAAATGATTCTTGCCAATTTCTTTAAAATTGCTATATTTGTAGATATGTGAAGAGAACACTCTATTTGCTACTAATAAGAGAAATAGATGTAAATAACTGCTTAAAAAGTTTCATATAATTTTGTATAAGTATCTTAAATGTTTCAAAAATAGAAAAATACGGGGTTACCCTTCCCGCCCATGTATGCCTCTGATATACAGAATAGTTTAAAGATGTGTTTTTTTTGCAGATTTACGGATATTAATGAAAAAACATTCCAAAGGTAAAAATTCATTTTTTTTTTAACTTTTAAACGAAGCATTTTTTGACTTAAGTAAGTTGACTTAAAAATAAAGCGTACCGCTACAATTACATTTAGTACCTGCCCCAATAAATATATTTTGCTTTCTGGGAATTTACGAGCCATATAAATTATACTTTGAATTATCCGAGATTATACCAAATAAATGTATTTAGCAAATGAGATTAGAATAAGTAGGCTGTAAACATAAATTAGTTGTTGTTTATTAGGGTACATAAGCACAAACCGAGTAGGTAATGACCCGGATAAGTGTTAATTAGGATAGGGTAATAAAAGTAGGTACCTGGGGACAAGGATAAAACCGAAAACATTTCCAGGCAAGAAACAGAAGTCTTGAGCCTAGTTCCTGCTCGGTTGTGTCTCGTGTTACCAGCGAATTTAGTAGAATAAAGTTTTCCATGCTACTTAGAGTTTTTCTCCTCACTTGAAGACCAAACCAAAATAAAATTATTTTTTTATATCGGTAAAATCTGGTATTGCAGTATGACCACTATTTTATGGAACACCCCGTGTATAAAAGTTTGAAAATATTCTAATTTTCTTTAAAAGTTTTTTGTATAGCTGTTAGAAATAAAAAGCGATTTCTTTGAGAGTTTTCAACATTATTTAATAATTTAATGTATCGTCAGGTAAGTATATATTTTTCAGATGTGGGTGCTATTTGGATAAATTACTTTTTATTTTCAATTTAGGTAAATATTAATGACTTAATTCGATGGGAATTGAAGAAAGTAAATTTCTGAAACTTATAATAGTAATTTTCTAAACTTTCTTGACGTCTATAATGCCACTAGACGATCGTTTTATTCGTAAAAATACATTTTTGTTAAAGACGGTAGAGCGCCAAATAGCCCTTTCGGTGTATGTATCTTAGGACCGGATACAATCTGAATTTCATTTTACAAAACTTTCAGATCTTAAATAGTATGTACCGTTTTATAATCATTTTATATTTTCATATTCCCATTGCCGTTATTGCTCCAACTATAAAGACATTTACAGTCTGAGATAAGTACATTATTATTTCGTTTTAAAGAGATTTTATACTACTCTTCCGGTCTGGAATTGTTAGTTATGTCATAACATCTAATGTTTCCATGTCTACCAACACAAAGACATATGTTATTCCTAACATGTTATATAATTTTTTAAGGAAAGTTCATTGTTCATCATAAGATGAATGTTGCGATATTGTTTTTGTATTTATATATATTTTTTTGTCTCTTGTTTCAGGACTAAATGAGGTTAAAGTCATTGTTCGAGTGACAGATGTAAATGACAACGCTCCAAAGTTTACTGTAACTGGACGTCCCATGATAGCAGCTATTCCGACAACAGCTAACTATGGTTACAACGTGATAAGGTTACAGGTAAAAGAACATTGAAAATCTTTAACTTCTCAAGGCAATATCCAACAGTACTTGCAATGTAAGAACCAATTTCAAATAAAGTTACAGTCCGTACGGTATTTGTTGAGATTGAATTTCAAGAAGACCCCTGCGTCACTTTCTTGGAATTAACCACACTCGACACCCAAGGCAGAAAGATATACGGTGAAAGCCACGCCACGTCGCCAATGTCTTTCTACCTCGGATGTCAAATGCGGTTAGTTACAAGAAAGTGACGCAGGAGTCTTTGAATTTTATCTCAACAGATATCGTCCGGACTGTAGTTTTGTTACATATTGTATCCCAAAAAGGAATGGTAAAAGCAATTGAATTTAAGTCAATTTGCCTCTATAAAAAATGATTCGTTTAAATATTACAGGCTGTTAAAATTTTGCTTTTGAAGTGCTTTTTCATTAATATCTGGAAACCGACATGTCTGATTCAAACTTGATACACATAAGAACCCGGGAAGCAACAAAAATCATCTTCACTTATTCAGTGGCATAGGGGAACGGCTGATTCATTCTTTTTTAAAATATTTCCCCCACTTATGGATCACTTAAGGAAATGATTTTCTGAGTGATCTTATTGATTTACACAAAAATTCTTCTTACCAATTTCTCATAAAATCCCAGATTTCGAATAAAAAGAGAAGATTCAGTTTGCTGCTCCGAAAGAAATTATAGAATTTTTTTTGTTTAAGGAGATAAATCGATTGTGCAAATTTAAAGAGCTTAAGAAAATATTATCTTTTGGGATCTTTCAGTTTCTGCTTCTGAATGAACTAATTCATATGCAGTAAAAAGATATTTTGTAGCAACTGATTCTAACAGAAATTGTCAAGAAGCATTTATTGCGTGGATTCACAAATAATTCAGAAATTCCGTAGTTTTTTTTTTTTGAAAACAGATAGGAATTTCGAAAAGCATATCCTGTTTATGTCACTAATGAAGGAAATGAGATGTTTGTTGATAATTTTTATCGGTCCCCGCAGTTTTATAAGATGAATTAATGGAAAAATATTTAGGATGTAAGTTGATTAAATTGTATTGTGAGGAATCTTGGTTGCTATATGACCACTATATTCCGTATAACAAAATCTACGTTTTGCGATATAAAGTACTGGTTTTTAAAAAACATAATATTTTATTATTAGCTCTCGAATCTTTTTTACGCTATTTTGAAGGTATTTTCTCTCGAAAATTCAACAATAAAAAGGTTTACAAGTGTGCGGTACCCCATCCGGGAACACAGTGTATAGTCATCCAGTTGACGGTCTGATAGGGCTATTTAAGGACGAAATTCTGTTTTCCATTGATCGTCGAAATTGAAAAGTGACATCAGACAAGTTATAAAGTCATGCCATAACTTCCGTAAAATGCTTCCATAAAACAGCCGAAAGGCAAAAAGTCGTCTAGCCACATCCGTTATATTAGTGAAATAACAATTTAATGCAAACCTTAAAGTTCACAAGCCGAAAACACTTTCATTATCGTTTTATGACATAGGCGACCGATCCGGATCTGGGATTGAACGGTGAGGTGCGCTACCAGATACTTAGTCGAGCCGACGAAGCCAGCCGTCGATTCGCCATTGATCCGGTCACTGGGCAGGTCAGGGGGATTTCCACTTTCACGAAAGAAGCTGGAAAAGTCTTTGGTTTTGACGTTAAGGCCACTGACAGGAGTGGGGCTGATGATGGGAAAAGTTCCATCGCCAACGTTTTCGTAAGTACACCTTGAACAGTTTGAATTTCTCTGCTAGTTAATTCTCTTTTGAAATTAACTTTTTTCACATTTACAATTATTTCAGTTTCCTATTTTTATCAGCTATTTAAATAAATTAATATCCCTATAGAGTGTCCCGATATAAGATGATTTAGACAAACTTATCTAAATAAAAAAATGCTTTCATTAAAAGATACAGGGGTTAAAATAGAATTTTTAAAACAATTTTTTCTTAATGTCTGATGATTTTCGAAATATTAACGAATATTATTTATTTCTTTGCAATTATGTACGAAAAACAATTGAAAAAAGGGGTTAGTGTGATCCTTTATCCTTTCCAATTGCATTGCAGGTACGCCTACTGAAATTTTCAGCAAACAATTTCATTGCGATTGTTTTATCTCCTTTAGAAAATTTTCACTTGTTACGTGGTTTTGAAGATAAATATCATTTTTCAAAAGACTATGCAAAGTGCACTGAATTTTAGGAGAACGCTACTTATGACTTGAAGTAATTTTTAATAAGAAGTTTGGAAGTCACTAAAAATAGCATACACATCTTTTAGCTATTATAAAAAAAAATATTGTATAACAATTCATATAGTTTCAAATACATACATCACTACACTAATATTCTAAATAAATTATTGCAACCAAAATTGTGTAAATACATTATAAAAAAATATTTTCGTATACCAAAATTTATACATGCAAATGTGACAACTCTTTTTATTAGATAAATATTTCGAGAAATATCTTTTTTGTATTGAAATTTTTGCTTGATTAAAATCTGTAGATTGTGGTGACCACCAAACAGGAGCATTTTGGCCTCCAATTTATATTTCAGAATTTAAATTGCCGCCTACAATAATACTTGGATCTAGACGGTGTTCCAAATGGTAGAGCGTCAGTTCTTCAATAATCAATTATTCTCAAACTACTGGATTGGACAAAATCAAAATGCGTCTGTTGAATAGCCACTACCATTTTCTGATTTTAATCCAGTGGATTTATTTTTCGCGGGTAAGGCTATTTATGCAGAAAATATTAATACTATTGAACATCATACAGATAAAATTCTCATGGTTGCTTTCGAACTTCGACAGAACAAAGATTTTTCAGATGATTTTTTTTTTAGTAAAGATACTTCGAAAATACGCCAGATCTTATGGTGTACTTTTATTATTAATGAAAGATTTTTACTAATAATGTGCCAATAATTACATAATTTTAGTTGTAATAATTTGTTGAGAATTAATTGATGTTTGCGTAGAAATATTTTCTAAGGTTTTCTTTTATTTGTTAAAAAAAAAAGTGAAAACTTTTTCATTAGCAATTTAAAATAAATCTTATTGAAAGTCAATCACAGATTACAATAATTACAATATTTTAAAAAGTGGTATTTATCAAAAAAATCATTCAATAAATAAAATATTTTTAAAGTTATAAAATTATTCCAAAGTACCTACCCAAGATAAGGATGGGATAGCACTGGGATCTAGGAAACGGTAACAAATACAGGGTGGCTCAAATTAGAAGAAAGTTGTGTTTTTTATACCTAACAATATGCCGTTTAGAAAGTTTTAAAATTCCGGGTAGTTCAGGAGATATCCGGAAAAACCCAAAATTTTGCAAAATCGTTTTATTTTTCCTGGCTTTATTTGAACACGAATTTTAAAATAAATTGCATATTTACATTGCCACTTTTTTCACTCTATCCAATGGCGTCAACATTTTTCCAATCCGACTTTTCGTCTTAGAGGGGCTGGCATCATCAGGTTAATTTTTTTAAATACGTCGCTGCTTAGGTATTTACTATGGTATCCGAGCCGAAAGCAAAAATGACAGTGTAGCTTGGGCCAGTCACGCAAGGGTGCGTTTACAAATGAGGTGCTTTGTATTTATACACATTGTCAACACAATGCAGTGGTTGTAAAATCATGCTGCTTACAGAAAGGATAATTAAGTGCAAACGAATTTATGTAGTACATTATTTGTATAAACCTTTGTATAAAGTCGAATCCGAAATATGCATTGTTTCATTCTGTATTTGCTATAAGTATATTTCAGATCTGCTACTACAGAATATTGTTTTATAGAAAATTGTCATTTCAAACAAAAGCAGACACGATTTTTCTTAAAAAGAAATGGTACCTACATTTGGAACTATATTTGTCCGCTACATATGTACCCCACCCCACTATACATAAATAAAATAAGATTTACTGTTTTACAATATATCATTCTTAAAGTTACTGCAATACTGTAGTTTAATGGTTCATAAAAATCTAGAATTTTATTAAATGTATGTCTTTTATGTGTCACCTTGAATGCAGTTTATCTAGAGGAACGGGAGGACACTTTTCTGTGAAATGATTTACAATATTTATTCTTTTCCGTTCGACCTACATATTTTATTCTGTCAAGGTTAATAGCAAAGAATCAGTCGTAAACTTTCAAAAATGATTACATGAATAAACAAATAAAAAAACTTGAATATTTGCTTATTTAAAATTAAAGTGAAAGTTTTCAACAGGTGTACGTTCTAGACGAGCAAAAGCAGCTCGTCATGGTAATGGGCCTGAAACCAACCGAAGTAGAAAAAAGCATGAATAACATAACCAGGTAAGTATTATTGATGCGCTTGGCGCCACAGAATGAAAATTCGATATATAGTGCTGTGGCAAAGACTTACGATTTCAGATATTTTAGGATGCTAGAAACAGAGAACTTAAGAACACTTTCGTAATATTACAAAAGACATAATTGACAAATACTGTCAAATTTTGCTGTATGGTTCTGTATTTCCAGAGTTCTTTGTCAAGTCCAAAAAAAATACGTTGTATTCTATATTTATTTCAAGTTTTAGTATTATTATTTTACATTTTCTGAATAGTTAGAGTAATAAACCAACTAGCAGATTTTTTTATTAAATCATTGTTCCGCCTCGACAACATATTAAAGATGTGTTTATATTAGCTAAGTTTAATTAATAGAATTGAAACAAATAACTTGAGTATATTTGTTTTCACGATTCATTAATTTCTTTGTACTTAAAGATTGCATTTTTATTTCGTTTAGAGCGATTTATTATGGCAAATTAATTAAATAAATAATAAAACTTTTTAAATTGATTTTGTTTAAAAATTAAGAGATTAATTTTTTATTAATTTATTTTGCTATGGGTACTATGCCACCTCTGAAAAAAAATTTATATTAATTAAATTAACCCTTACGCCAAACGAACAGTTACTTATTTAAAAAAATACTTTTGTGTAACCAAAAATCTGTAACTGGAAAGAATAGATAAATGAAAAATAAGATACAAATCACTGCAATCCATCACTCCATAAGTTCGTAGGATGATATGTAGATAGCGCTACTATTGACAAATCCATATGGTTTCTAGGAAGTACTAAATTTCAAATAATAATTATGTCAAAATTTCATGACAATCTGACGTTTAGTTCATACATTTCAGTGGTTTTAGTGACTCTACTTTGCTTTAGACGATGACACTGAACGTTCTGGTCGTCAATAGTGGCGCTATCTATATATACAGATTCGGAAAGTCCTCATGGTACATCGGCCGTTACGTGAGAGCGAACCCTCTTCTAACCCGAAACGGGCGGTGACTATTCAGTTTATGAAACGTCTTCACTATAGCCATCCTTGTCTATCGCACGGATTTCTTTACTTTACTATGTCGCTCTCATGTAAAGGCAGATGGACCATGTGGATTTTCCAGCCCTGCATATGAACTTATTGATGTTATCTCCAAGAATTTGATATAGATTTATGTACAGGGATTGCTGTGACCTTATATAATTGTGTTAATTATTCCAAATCTTAGAAATAAAGAGGATTTTTTTTCTAGTTCTGTTGCCTAGATATTTAGTTAAAAAAGTCTGTTTTACATTCCCTTAGATACAAATATTTTGGCGAAATTGAGTTATACTACTTTTTTATGGGTGGGATAGGACCGTTTCATGGTTTTTTGTTAGGTGCATATTTCAGTAAAACATATTAGGAATTTTTTTAATTCCAAAAATAACAACTTGGAATTATTCTATGACCTCCAAAATAGTAGCGTACCAAACTCGAGGAAAACATAAATATTTATTAATTTTATTTGTACCGGTGATCTTGAAATCGAAATAAGAACACCGTACTCCTCAAAAATAATTGTGTACCATATTTAAAGAAAATATATCTATTACTTATTAAGTGATTAATAGTTGTAATTAATAGAAATTTGTGTTATTACCGGTACTAGTGATGGTTTGTAATGCTTAAGTATATTTAATTTTTACTGCATAAAATCTTTTAATCTTCGAATTAAATACTCCAGTCTACGATTTTTTATTTTATGGTATCCTAGATGTACCCACGAAATTTTAAATTGAATTTTTTTAAGTTTAAAAAAATAACCGACAGATAACTTTATTTTAATAGGACGTAGAATAATCATATAATGTTATTACGAAAAACAAAACACACTGTATATGAACTATATACTGTATATTTTCAAAAGAGTAGTTAAAAATAGTTGTCCAAAAAAACCTATACTGAATTTGTGTTACTTTAGAAATGTACTGTATACATTTGAAACTCTACGTCAAATATAGATTCAAATTATTGGAAGTTCCTAAAAGATCAAACCAAATCGAATTAAAAATGCTTGTCTGTTTGTATAAAAGTTTTTGCTACAGCATCCAAAGCCCCCTATTCTTATCAGTTGCTACTGTACCATAATATGAATTTATGTGTTTGCAGTGCCTTGTACAATGCCACGGGATTCGATATTCGAGTTCGTAAGCTGGAGCCCCACAGTGAAAGAAACCAAGTGGATAATAGCGCGTAAGATGAATTATATTTTCATATTTCTTTTTAATTCACTTTCCCAACGATAATAACTATAAATTTCAGTTATTCTTAGAATTTCTGTGACACCTACATTATCGATCTGGGAAGAAAAATCGAGTATACCGTTATAACTGAATAAATCGCTACAATTGCCTACTTTTTGAAAAAACTTGTTACGTTTCTCAAAGTAGTAAAACAAAAAAAAAATAAAACAAATTTAAAAATAAAAATTTATGAAGTGATAGAAGCATAATTATTGACCCCAATAATAGATAATTATTCACTGAGCAGATAACAAATGATTCAATTAATACTAACAGTAATAATAAAGCTTCTCTTATTCTGATAAAAAAACGCATATAGATAGACTCGTTTTCTTAAAAAAATGTTGATATTTTTCATTCAGTCCGGATAACAGGTGAAAAGCTTGATTAATTTTTGCAGACGCGAGATGAGATACTCTCCAGGACCCTAAAGAAGTTTGTAAATTAAAAACAATGTCAGACAAACAATTTGCGAAATATATCGTTCGAAATAAAATTCAAAATAAACACAGCAAAACTCTATACGGTTTTCACAGCAAATAGGTTTAACGAACTGCAGCATGCTGAAAAAGATGTCTGTATATTAAATGTAAACACTTTCTTGAAATATTGATGCATTTTATCAGTCGACGGCTTGCCTCTTCAAGTTTCAAAAAGTAAAGTTAAAGTACCTATAGCTCTTTAGATAAGTTTGACATTCTTGAAGCTGAAATACGACTTCCTGCTTACCCAGTTTACAGTGCGAATTAATAAAATCTTAGCTACAATAAAAAATTTCCTTGCCGAAAAGCTGTTGAACAGGATTGTGTTTTTTTTTAAATAAATGTTTAAAAAAGAAGGTTCATAATAGTTTCTAATTATCTTCTTAGGATGATGTAATTTCTGAGTTTGCACATTAGAACAATTTTTCTAGCATTTACGAAAACAAATAATCAACACATTCTGATATATTAAGAATTCCAACAATTCTATAAATACGTAATCCCTCCATCTGAATACTGCATTGGGTTAATATATTCATTGGAAGTTGGTGAGAAACCTTTGTAAAAATCTTGTTACATATACTTTTTATATAGATTACAAGTTCGAATTTAAATTTTTTTAAACTAATTAATTTTTTTAACTGTAAGATATAATAACAGTAAACTAGAAAGCTATTGGAATAATCTATATTCCTTTCATTTTCGCATAAAAGCTGCGAATTTGATTCTAACATAAACCAGCTTTTAATATTCAATATTTGTTAAAAATAGTTTGTCAGCAATATCACAATCTTAAGTATATCAAATGACAAAATAATAATTGACCCAATTTTTAAATTTTTTTCAAAGTTTGTTTAGAAATGTAAAGGCGTTGTTTTTATTGGAGTATTTTATATTTAGAAATATAATTCTTGATTTTCTAGAGTACTACCTTATTTAATGACTGTTTACTTTGTCTTTAAAACCTATGGCAATATTATTAATCTTTATAGGATAGCTACTCGCTATCGTTTAAGTAAATATTCAATGAACATGAAATCAATCTAGCACTCACCATTATTACCGTTTGCATCTGGGGGTACATTAATACAAACAAGAGTGTTTGGTTAATAGTTTTTTTTGCGATGTTTATAGCTCTATTGGTAGATACACTTCCAAGATAAAAGGTAAAATTGTGATTAGATTCAATATAGTGACATGTTAGTGGACAAGCTTGAAACCCGTGATACCATCGAAGTGCCAAGAAGTCCGTTCAAAATTTGAGTTGTTTCACAACATGATTGCTCCAATATGGCTTCTGATACATTAGATATATACACATCCATCGTCGAAACTTGGCACCATCAAGCTCATCTGCAAAGTTGGTTGAAAGCTACTTCAAAAAGCTTTATTGCAAAAAGTATCCACATTATGATTACGTCTAATAATTTCTATATTGACTGTTATTAAAAAAGACTTGCTACATATTGTTTAAAGAGTTCATATTAATTAGAAAACAAATGGAACACATTCATTTATATCATTTTTTATTTATTGTTCCCAAAAATATTCTTATCCAGAATCTCAGGCATGCGAACATTTCCACTTTCAAGAAAAATTACTCCAAAATTTTAGGTCGTCAAACTTCATTGCACTTTATTGTTTACTGTAATTACTTTACAATTCTTTGCCGTTAAAATCACTTCAAATTTTTTATTCTTTCTTTATTACACATATATGTGTCTCTGTACTGCCAGTTATAGAAGTTTGATTTATTAGCCTTAAGGGTTTAATTTATTCCTTGACATAAGGGTCGCTATTTTTGGCTTTATAAATTATTACTTTATAAATTCCGCTTAAATATGTGTATATATTTTAGAGGATAGAAATTACCTACTTGTTTGACCCAATTTTCACAATGTGTCAGTATGCAAATGAAAGCGGATATCGTGGATGGTGCCCTAAATGGCCGCTATGATAACCGTTTTGATGAATTCTAATAGCCTTGCGGCTTATTTAGTTAGTATGGATCACATGAAGCGAACTTTATGAAATACTGTTTGACTTCAAATAATCTATGTACCTAGTACAAAAATGTTTTCAACTTATAAATATCAGTACTTTTATGTCAAAAGCAACGAAATTTTTTTTACGTCCATAGTCAAACAGCGCTAAGAGCTCATACCAGGTGAAATCTAAGCTGATGTGAGGTTGTTTAAATGTTTCGATGAGGAATTCCAATATGTAACTCTAAGATATTACAGCGTGTGAGTTTTGAGACAATTAGCAGGTTAGTCGAAAAAGAGTTACCTACAATCATATAGAGACCTGAATCATGCTGAGGCATTGCCAACTGCGCGAGTGAATGAAATATAAGGCCAGGAGATCCCTGAAGAGGCAAAAAGTTCTTAAAAAGATCAACGAAGAAGTTAACGAAGTTAACCTTATGAACAAAAGTCGAAGACAAATAAGGATAGTAGGACTGCTAACTGGACACTGCAGACTTAGGAACCATCTGAATAATACTGGCCCCTGTGGACTTCATTAGGCAGAAAAGAAGACCCCAGCTCCCGTATTGCACAATTGTTCAGCAGAGAAAAACTGAAGCTGGCAGAAAGAGCTACAGTAAAACTGTGAAGTTTATTTGCAGGACTAAAGTTAGATAAGGAACTCCTTGGAGGTCTAAAATAGACCTATTGTCTATTCCAATGGAACGATGTGATGTATGTGTTCCATATGAGTATATTTCTATGTAGAGTATTGTGTTTAGATTGTGTCGTTACGACGTAGTTCAATAAAAGCATTTAGTAGCCGATTCAATCAGCCACAAGTCATTGAACAATAGTACATAGTATAAGAACAGTGCTCCATATGAAAATAAATTGAATCTACTATCTATTATTATTCTGCCACGAGTTAAGAACTCATAAACTATGTCTTTCATGAATCAAGAACTCTCAACTTTGGTAACGCACAGCTTGGTTTAAATATCGATTGCTCGAAATTGGGTTCTAACAAATCAAACTAAATTACTTACTTTTTTATAATTACACATCTCTAGCTTTTGTACTTAAAATTTATTCAAAAAGGTATTTGCTAATTCTAGTCTACAGATTGTCCTAAAATTACCATCTGAAGAAGTTATAGATGTCCTTGATACCAACATTTGGGTTTAAGTTTAAATACTTAAGCAATGTAGCAACTTTCAAAGAATCTCCCTTTGATAAAGTTAAATTCCTGTAAAGAATAGTAGGTGAGCTGAGCTATTTCTACATTTTAATGAGTCAAAAGATTTTCATAAAATTCTCTTCTGATGGTCATGCTCTGACATTAACATGTTAAAAACAAGAAATAACTTGTATTTGAAGTTGCTTTTTAGCATACCAAGATGTTGGTGTGAAAGGGATTACTGCGCCAGATGAGAATTTTAAGAAACTTTTTAGACTTCATTTGAATTAGCTTAACATCTTTTAAACTAAGGTAAAATTATATAACTAATTTTTTTCCCGTATCCTCGATGATATTATTTATGGTTAGTTATCATACCTTTTCTCTCCCATAAATATATTCATATTGTGTATCCAAAGATAATGTGATTTTTTTCGGATTTTCCGAAAAAGATAAAAACATATCATCCTTTATTAAATTCTAACTTTAGGCACTTTAAAAGATATCGCATTTAACACAATTGTATGGGTATGGATATGCTTGACCCTTCAAAATTACTTTGCTATTATAACATTCATCAGAGGGGGTAGCAGATGCTCCATTTATTCTCTCCTTTCAGGTGGGAACTAGGTTAATATTAAAAGTTAGTCCAACTTCCGTGTAAGTGTACACCTATAACTTTATTAAAGGTTCTAAGTTTGGGGCAAACGATCGTCACTCTTGTCAGAAAGTTTATATAACAAATACGAACGGTTTCCCTTTCGCAAACGCATTGAAGTTTTTGATAAATTACTTTATAGTAATAATTCAGCTTTCATAAAAGCGGCAGACAACTTCTAAGAACTTCTGTTACACCTGACGTTTTACCTCCAACTTTTTCACCGATTTTAACAGTATAACAAAAATGGTAACATTGTCAGTAAACTTAGTTTTTATTATATTTTTTCAATTCTTCAACCGTAGTAAATCGTATATTTCTAATACATACTTATTTCCCATACAAAATCTATTCATCTAGACTAGAAATCAGTCTGTTTTGAATGTTTTCACTCCGTACTTCCGTACATGCGATAGTAAATATAAACTAATTCTGTAATATGTACAAAATTGAGGAAAAGTTAATAAGTTTTAAGAAAAGCAAAATAACTAATTTCAACTATTATTTGCTTATGTTTGTATAATAAAAATTTAATAATTGAAAATGAAAAAATGAATAAATAAAATTATTATTCGGATATAGTAGTGAAATAACTAATATACCAACATTTAATTATCTTACTAATGTAATGTACAAGCAGTATCTATAAGGATCTAATCTATA